CCAGCTGGCTGTGGTTTGCGCTGCTTGGAGCTCAGGCGAGCTTGGCCTCTCGCTTTGCTAATTAATGCTCAGCTAGGAGCTGCCTGCGTGAACGTCAGGTGCAACCCAGCCCCCCCCACCCCCACCCCCAGGCAAATGGCTCCACTCCCCCCCTGCAGCCTTGTGGCATCACGCTGCACCCACAGGCCTCCGCAGGGCTGCGCTGGGCTGGTACCTGGATGAGAGGCCACTCTGCACGGAGTGCTGGGGTGAGCCTGGTCCGCGGGGGGGGTGCGTTCCCTTCTGACTCAGTGAGGAGCCCAGCGGGGCACTGTGCTGCAGGGAGTGGGGCGGGTGGCTCCATAGGGGGCGCTCTCCCTCTGAGGCAGGGCTGACCCCAGTGCCCTAGCACAGTGCTGGGCCCAGAGCGGTGACTTCCCTCGCCCACTAAAATGCAGCTACCTCTGGGGTGCAGTTAGCAGCGAAGAGGCTTCCCAGCTGCAAGCACAGGCCGGACACGGGGAGGCAGAACATAAGGGCCCGAGCTGGGATTTTGCCCGGATGTCAGGATTCACCCCCCAACCCCGGGGCTTAGACGCTGGTGCCCCTCCATCCTGCCCCCTCATGCCGTACCAGTCCTGCCCAATTTATCTGGTTCCGACATGCGCTGCGGGGACGCTTTTTGCTGGGGTCGTCTGGCCGGAAGCTGCAGATTCCAGATGGCAGAGGCCCGGAGAGATGCTCATACGGAGGAGGTGCAGCCGGTGGGCAGAGCGACAGGTGGTCCTCTGCTCAGTATCATCCCGGTGAATAGAGACCCACGGAATCGCTCTGCAGGAGCAATCGGCATGGGCACAAGCCGGGGGCTTCAGTTCAGCGGGCAGGGGTGAAGCAGCGGGGAGGGCAGTTAAAGTGTCTCTGAGTCACTTCCATGCTTCCTCTCGGGGTGCGGAGGCCATTATACTGTGCCCCCCAGTGTCCCCACGAGGGCAGAGAATAGCCAGAGAGCAAGCGCCCTCCGGCCACGTCCCTGCTCACCCCACAGTGGTCCAGGGGAGTCGAGAGTAGCCACAACACACTGTGCCCTGGCCCCACCTGCGATCTGCCCCCTTACCCCAGGGCTGGAAGCAGGGTGGGTGTGGTGCCCTGACGCCCGCTTCACACTGGCTAGGAGGACCCCTTGGGCAGGGGGAGTTCTCAGGGGTCAGAGCAGCCTGAAGGAGCTGGAGTGTAACTGAGAATCAGGCCGTGGCCTTAGCAGAATCACCCTGTGCTCATGCAACGACTCAAGGACAGAGGTGCCCAGAGTAACTCCAGTCCCCGGGGCAGACCCATGCCCGGGTTGCTGCCTGATACGTGGTGACCCTAGCAATGAGAGAGTCACGGTGACTGGGAACCCCAAAGCAAACTCTGACACCACACCCATCACCAGGCTGTACTGAACAGGGCTGTGTGCACCGCTGCCCTCTGCTGGCTGGAACTAGGATTGCTCACCTGTGTGTCATAGGCACTATACTGCAACCAGCGTGCGGAGATTCCCTTGAGGACTCCACAATCCCTGCAGAATAAGGGGTGGTGGGGAAGGTTGGGATGGAAAGAAGGGAGCTGTCCCAAATTCTGGTACTCTTGCTCCCTTCAAAGATTGGGCCCTCAGCCCCCAAAGTTACCCAGCTCAATTAATTGCCCCCGGCAGCAGTGCAGTGGGCAGGAGCTGGTCATGAGCTTCCCTCCCATCTGGACCTCAGTAGCTCACACCTTCCTGCTGGATCATGGCAGCGCTCTCTCTCTCTCTCTCTCTCTCTCGCACACTCACACACATATTGGCCTGGCCGCACACGCTTGTGCACCAGCCCCGTGGCCTCCAGCCCTCTCCCCACCCCGCTTCCCCTGCCTGTCATCATCCCCATCCCGTGCAGAATCCAGCCTTTGCAGTCACTATTATGGTCGGCCTCGCCCCCCTCCCCGCTCACCCCACCTTAGCAGCATCCTCCTCTAACCAGAGGGGAGGTGGGAAGCCGCAGGCAGAGGTTCCTCTGAATCCTCTCCCATCACCCCCTCTCCTTGCCTGCCCCACAGGCTACACTCTCTCTCTGTCCCCCCCAGATACCCATGGCTCTTCCTGCAGCAGAAGCCCTGGGGTTTCGTGCTGCTTGCATAGGATCCCCTGGCCCCAGGGGGCTGGGGGCTGCTGGTCAGATCCCAGTGCTGGGGCTTTTCACGTCACCCAGTTAATCCTCTTTTGAAAAATTCAGAAGTCGGGCTCAGGAGGCGGTCCAGCACCAGCGAACTCCTGGTTCCTGGCGTAACAGCCGCTATGCAGCAGCCCTGCTAGCGAGGAAGGACAGCCCAGTGGTTGGGGCTAGCCTGGGACTTGACAGACCCGGGATCACTGCTGTGGACGCTGTGTGACTTGGGCAAACTCATCAAGACCCAGCTCCGCAAAGGTATTTAGGCGCCTAACTCCCTTTGACACCAATGGGTTCTGTGCCTCAGTTTCCCCATCTATGAAATGAGAATAAAGAGCCCCACCCAACCTCCCAGGGGTGTTGTGGGGATAGATATGTTAAAGATTTGGAGGTGCTCAGGTGGGCTGGGGACCACAGAGGTGCCGTAGCTAGACAGACCCATGCATGGGGGATTTAATTCCTTCCTTAGGTCAGACTGGTGCCTGGCCTCCTGGACAGAACAATCCAGAACAGGCCAATAGCTCGTCATCCAAGGGGACCCAGGACTGGGCTGTTTTGATAACAGGATCTAGGTTTTCCGTCTGCAAATCCGGCTCCTAATGGGGATTTGCTCACACTTGGTACGTTAATAAAGGTGCTAATCAACTGGAACAGAGTCCAGGAGGTCACCAGGTTGCTTGTTACCAAGTGTAGAGTCTCCTGCTGACATACCTAGAACTGCCTCTAACGCATGCCGGCCCTGGCCGTGCCGCCTTTCCCCAGCTGTTCGGTGCTGAGGCTGCTGGAGACAGACCGACTGTGGTTCTCTCTGGCCTGGGCTGCCTAAATCCTGCCCTGGAGTTCAGCAGTCATGGAAGAGACCGTATTATCTAGGACTTTATTCCACCAGGCGTTGGCTGGGAAGGGCGAGGGCCAGGCTGGTGCAGCGGCAGAACTGGACCAGGGCAGCAAAACCAGGAACTTGGCTTCATTTCTTTTTTCGCTCCTCCACGATAAACTTTTTTCCCCACGTGGTTGAGTGCAATCTCCCCCCAGGGAACGTTTCACAGCATTGTTCGCTCGCTCCGACAAACCACGAATGCACCACGGCTCACAGGCACAGACTGTTCAAAACAGACTCTCGCAGCGGGAGAGCAGAGACAGCAGGGCCAGCGGTTAGAGTGCTGGACTCATAGAAGGTTAGGGTTGGAAGGGACCTCAGGAGGTCATCTAGTCCAACCCCCTGCTTGAAGCAGGACCAATCCCCGATTTTTGCTCCAGATCCCTAAATGGCCCCCTCAAGGATTGAACTCACAACCCTGGGTTTAGCAGGCCAATGCTCAAACCACTGAGCTATCCCTCCCCCCCCAAACTCCTGGGTTCTATTCCTGGCTCAGTCCCTCCCTCACCATGTGGCTTGAGGCTGGTCACATTCCTGCTCTGCGGGTGAAAAGGGACCCATGTAACTGTAACCCACTGGGGAGGGTGAATTAGGAATGCCCCTTTCGGGCTGATCCACAGGGGCTATGGGTCTGTTTCAATGCCAGGCTATAGAGATGTGATTCCTTAGCTCAAGATGTAGCTGCTCATGCTTTTAGCTGCGGGGGTCCCTGGTTCAATCCCTGGCCTAGCAGCCAAGCACTAGGCAGGTACCCGGGGAGCATCAGCTTGGGAAGCTGCTCCAGAGAAAATGTACAGACTGCTCCCCCAGCTCGGTGTGGCTCTGGGATGAGCCGGAGCGGAGCCGGACAGCACCGAGGTAAATGAGAGGCTGCTGCGGGTTAAGTGCCTGTGTTTCTCCTGTCTCTGGTCTAAGGGTGTAAATCGACCCGTTGCTTTGCACCAGAGGATTCAATGCGTCTGGGCCAGGGGTCTGGCCAGGTCGGGTTTGGCCGTACCCTGTGCCCATACGGATTCGCCTGTGTTGCCCTCCCCAGCGTCGCGGGGCTTGCCAGCTCCCCTGCACAGCTGGTGAACTTCCTCGCGAGCTCCTTATACATCCCACTCTGCTCCCCACCCCAGCTACCCCTCCACCTCCAGCCATGCCTCCCCCCAAAGCCCCCATGCTGCAGCCCTGCAGATCCCTGGCCAACCATCCAGCCATAGATCGCCCACGAGGACAACACTGTCCCCACCACCTGCCATACCCCTTGTTCCCCCAACCACATGCCCAACACATGAACCCCTCACCCCAGCTCTGGTAACACCGCCCGGCTCCTGTTCTGCAACCTATCTGCTCACCAGACACAAAGCCAGCCCTGATGGGGGCCAAAGTCCCCGCTCAGAGAGAGGGCATGGGGCTGCTGGCATGCTGCATGCCACCCTGAGTGGGGAGGGGAAGGTGGATCCGTCTCGCCAGCAGAAAGGATCAGGCCCCTGCCTCCCTTTCTGGCCCAGGCCAGGGCTGGAGCAGTTCTGCTTTTCGAGGCAGCAACCTGAACGCAGCAGCCAACACCCCCCAGTGCCCCCAAGGGCGACAGGAGCAAAGGGACAAAAATAAACTCCATCAGTTTAAGGCCAAGCCAACCCCAGAGCAAATTCCAGCCAGCTGCTACTGCCTGCCTGTGTCCAGCCCTTGCAAGGTCACTGCAGCAGAACCAGGCAGAGCCAGTCCCAGCCAGAGGATGCTGTGTTTCCCAGTTTCGGGGTAACTGCACCTGGGTTCCCTTGAGGGCACCCACTTCAAGGTTTCCAACTCCCGGTTGTCACCTCTCCTGAGCGGAGACCCACATCTCGCTCTCTCCTGCCCGGGGGTTTTCAGGCTGCAGAGCTCCCTGGATCACGGTCGCGCTCTGCTTGCTCTCCAAGGACTATGACTAGTGTGTCGCCCGCAGATACAAGTCACCACACCGCTGCTGCTGGGCAAGCACCTTTATTCTTCAGGTAAAAGCATTACAGAGCAAACAGATGAAGTCAACAGAATAACCTAGACACAAGCTCAAAAGCTTCCCAGAGCTCAGCCCCAGGCCCAAGATCGGGCTCTGGTAGGTTCAGTCCTTGAAAGCCCACGACTGGGTTTCCCCCCACGGTTGCAAGTTCGTCTGTCTTAGATCTGGAACCAGAGCAGAGATTGGGCAGATCAGCTTTTTCTTTCTTGGCCTCACATCACATGTTTGCATCAGGCAATGAGCTGCTCCGCAGGGCACAGCTTCGAAAGGCTGGGGGCTTTGCAGAACCAGAGTCGGGGGAACTTGCACGAACCTCTCCCTTGGGATTCCCCCAGGGAAATCCACATCTCACTTCTCGTCCCAAAAGGCCCTGCGTGTCTGGCACATTTTCAGCAGAGTCTTGTGAACTCCAAGGTCTCACAGCTGCCTCAAGAGGTGACATATGATCCCGACCCACAATAACACACCCACTCTCTACCTCCTCCCAGGATGTTGCAGGACTTTGCTGTCTCAGCGACACACTTTTCTTGGTGCTCCTATTTTGATACAAAGCAGAGAGACACAATCATATTTTGCAAGGTTGCTCTGTGTGCGCGCGGGGTGGGGGTGGGGGAGGGGGAGCGTGTATGTCTTTTGCTAAGGAATCTCCAAGCACTTCAGCTGGGTTTTACACAAAACCCCTCTCCTGGAGGCAGGGAAATCTCATTAACAGGAAGCACAGATAAGGAGTGAGTCAGGGGGAATAGGGAGTCGTGGTCTCCCCACGCCTCCTGCTCTAACCATTAGACAACACTCCTCTCCCTTAACTGGGCAGACAACCCAGGAGCCCTGACTCTTGTCCTCCCACCAGTAGACCACATTCCTTTCCCACAGGTGGGGACAGAACCCAGGAGTCCTGACTCCCAGCCTCCTGCTCTAATTCCAAGACAAAACTCTGCCTCACTTCCTCCCACCTCCCGCCAAGGAGCAGATTTGTGGTTCTCTGAAAGTGTGCGTGTCATCCATTTGTTATCGCCCTGCCAGATGGCCTTGACCCCAGATCACTAGTTGCTTCTGCTGACCGGTACCATCGTCAAAAGTTCCACTCCCAGTCACAAGGCAGACGTTGCTGCGCTGTTCCCAGGCCATCAGCCTGATGGATGAATTTAGCAACCCATGTGATTTATGGAGAGGGAAGTAAACAAGGGTTGTTTGTGGCAATACACCGCGCTCTGTTCTCACAGTGTTTCCATTGCGAGAGAGCCAGAGTATTCAGGGAAGCTCCTACATTTTGGGGGGTGCTATTTCCCTGTTTCTCCTGAGCGTCCCTGCCACATGACCTAAGGGCTTGTCTACACAAGGGGAAGTTATTCCAGATTAAAGCAGGGAAGCACTATAGATATTCCTATGTATCTCCCTGTATGGACACGAGAGAGTCTTATCCAAAATGAGCTTAATCCACTTCCAAAGCACTCTTACTCTGGAACTGGAAAGTCCACATGGGGAACTATTCTGCAGTAGCTATTCCAGTTAATTTCCCCATGTGGAGAAGTCCTAATTTCTACACTAAGGCCCTGGCAGTGTTCCGGAGTCTTAAAATGGGTTTAACTACAATTTATGCCCACTTTAAGGACTCTTTATGCAGCCACGGTGGTGCAAAGGGGGCGTAGTGTCCATGAGAAACAGACCCATTATGCTGAGAACTGTATATTCCCCACAGTCTGTCGGGATCCTGGTATATTCCCCACAGGGCGCTTTGATTTAGAAATGCCACTGCCATGCCTCATGGGAGTTGTAGTGTGGGGGGCCTCATGCCCTCATTCTCCTGTGTGGATCAAGCCCCCGGTGGGACAACATCTCCCACAATGCACAACGGTCACCTCACTTGCTGATCGCTGGCTGTACCCGTCCCATGGCCCCGGTGCATCATGGGAAACGTAGTCTGGCTGGGGACTCCAGCCATACAGCAGAATGGGGCCATGAGGCAGCCAAACTGTAAACCCCATGAGGCAACGCGGTAGCATTTCCCATTCAATTTTTTTTCCAGTTTGCGGCGGACATATTTTTATTTTCGGGTGTTAGGGTTTTTTGACCAAAAAGTTGAAAATTTCCACACGAAACCTACTATCAACGCCCCCGCCTGCCCTACATTCATTTCTGTCCAAAAACAAGGTTGTTTGGAAATTTTTCAGCCAGCCCGATGTGTAGCATACCTTCCCCCCACACCCAAAAGCTCTCCTGAGGGTCCAGACAGAGGCCAAATCCCCTTTCATTTAGCCTGGCTGCTCGCAGGTCTAAGCGCCATTACAGACTGCCCCAGGTCCGCCCCAGCCCACAGCCATCCCACAATGCACGGAGATGCCTTTAGTCTCCCCGAATGCCCTGTGGGATAGATACCCAGAGGGCATCGCAGCTAGACCAGCGCTAGTGTGGATAAACCCACCGCTGAGCAGGACAGCACTCTGAACACATTTCTGAAGCTCTGTGCTCGGAAACCAGTTCCACTCAACTAGCTCCATTAGGAACAGTTCTGCGGTGTAGACGCAGCCTGAGATCCATCCTAACCACAACACTCACCTGGCCTAGGTGAGCTGCTCAGAGGGGCCAGCTGGGACCACTCGGATCTGATCATAGATGGTGGTGACCAGTGGTCTCTCGCTCGGGCAGCCAGGGTCCTAAGAGAACAAGAAAAAAAAAAACTAATTTGTTGTCCTGTCTTTGTTGGTTAGTTATCCTGAACTGGAAATGGCCCTTAGGGGCTGGGTGTGTGTCCCTGAGTTCAGTAGCTGCATAGATCATAGAATATCAGGGTTGGAAGGGACCTCAGGAGGTCATCTAGTCCAACCCCCTGCTCAAAGCAGGACCAATCCCCAATTTTTGCCCCAGATCCCAAATGGCCCCCTGAAGGATTGAATTCACAACCCTGGATTTAGCAGGCCAATGCTCAAACCACTGAGCTATCCCTCCCCCTTGGAATTCCCTCAATGAAGAGGGAATTCCACAATGAGTCACAGTCATTTATCCCCTTGCCAGACACACTATAAATAAGACCATTTTTCTCTTCGAGGAACAATGATCTTGTGTCTAAGGGGAATCGTGGGCAACAGGAAATACCCTCAGTCATACTGGGCTAAGTCTTTACTCAGAGTTTGCTCAGTCCTCACTCACTGCAACTCCTTTTGCTGTCAGTGGGAGTTTTCCCTAAGTAAAAATTGTAGCTTATGTAGAAATTCCAGTTTTGCCCACTACTGAAATGCAGCCACCTCTGGGGTGGGGTGTGGCAGCTGTTTTGTATCACACAGCAACACAGTACAGGGATCACTTGCTCAGCTCTGAAATGCAGCCACCTCTGGGGTGGGGTGTGGCAGCTGTTTAACAACCACACAGCAAAACTGCTCAGTAGCTTAGGACGGGAAGTGAAGAAGACACCCCTATCTCTAAAAAGAAAAGGAGTACTTGTGGCACCTTAGAGACTAACCAATTTATTTGAGCATGAGCTTTCGTGAGCTACAGCTCACCTCACGAAAGCTCATGCTCAAATAAATTGGTTAGTCTCTAAGGTGCCACAAGTACTCCTTTTCTTTTTGCGAATACAGACTAACACGGCTGTTCCTCTGAAACCCCTATCTCTGAAACAGCAGGGAGAGTTTCGGAGGCAGAAGGGAGTTACTAAAATACACGGATACATAAATAACAGACTGGAGATAGGAGCAAGACTGACACCCTTCCTGGTGTGCGTCATTTACCAGAAGCCGCTATCTCTGTAGGGAAACAACAGCTGGCAACTTCAATATCATCTTGCTGCAGCTCAGGATGCTGCTTGACTCTCCAGCAAACAAGGCTGAGTAATATCGTGCAGGGTCACAGCCCTGTCGGTGCAATTTCCTGCGGTTACCGAGGTGTCAGGTAATTTGAAACAAAAATTGCAAGCAAAGTAGAAAGGCCTGAAGGCCAGAGCGGAGGTGCTCAGAGTCAGAGGTGCTGCAGATTGCCCGAGTGGGCTGGCCGGGTCACCCCGAGACCAGGAGACCACGTGCTGCTGTGGGGTGCCATGGGGCCAGTGTGATGCAAGTCCACAAGCTGTTCACTCATTAAGCCCAGCCTTGGCTTTGCTTTCCGCTAGAGGTGCCGGGGCCCTAAGAGAGAACTGAAGGCTGCAGGAGAACTCCCCCCCAAAGGGAACTCACCTGGTCGTTCCCCTCCGGAGGGCTCCTCCTCTTGATCTCAGCATAGTGGGGCTCTGAAGGACATTCCTCCTCTGGGACCGTGGGGACAGCAGCTTAGGGGAGAACGTGGGACAGATCATTATCCTACACTGAGAGGCTGTGGGGACCCCGCCGGGTCTGGGGATGCGGTGACGACGTCCCAGCACTAATAATCCCCACTGAGGGCCAGATAATAATTATCTGCCTTTACAGATGGGGAAACTGAGGCACAGAGGAGGGCAGTGACTTGCATGAGGTCACCCAGCAGGTCAGGGAATAGAAGCACAGGTCTCCTGAATCCCAGTCGAGTGCGCTATCCATAAGGCCACACTTCCTCCCGGATTCTGCTCTCACTTACCCTGGCCTAACTCTGAAGTCAGTCCAGCGACTCTGATGAATTGACCCTTTCAAGGGCAGCCATGCAACTACTGCAGACTTGCCCCAGCGTAGCTGAGATCAGAGCTTGCCTCTTTGTGTCCCTCTCCCCTGGGATCCTGCCCAGTCTTGGGCATGTTAGACCCAGGCCAGCTGCATGGGGGAGTTTTCCCTTCTGAGCAAGGACAATACTGATACTGGCCTGTCTCACAGGGACTGCTGTAGCAATGAATGCCATGGATGGTTGTGTGGCAGCTGCCAACTTGGCTGTCACACTAGGGATTGAACCGAGGACCTATAGAGCTAAAAGCCAGCATTGTTACAGGTTCATCAGAGCGGCCGTACTGGGTCAGACCAATGGCCCAGCTAGCCCAGCATCCTGTCTCTGACAGTGGCCGGTGCCAGACGCTTGAGAGGGAATGAACAGAACGGGAGAACTGTGGAGTGACCCAGCCCCTGTCGTCCAGTCCCCGCTTCTGGCATTAGCTTGAGCTAAAGTTCTCCAGGAGGAGCCGTAACAGAGTCTGTAGATGTACAGAGAGGGCCCGGCCCCACACTCCCCCCTGTGGGTTACACATGCAAAACGCTCCGTGAAACGCATGATACAAAGTGCTATTAATTTAAACAAATCTTGAATGGAAATGTTAACACAATGCCTGCCGTGACTACCAGCTGTAACCCTTTAATAGCCCCATTGGCTATGGTACAACTCCTCTCACCAGTCAGCATTACACCGAGCAATAAGCATTCGTAGATTGACCCCCCATCATGGATTGTCCAGCAGTTTAGAACCTATGATTTTCACCTCCAAAACACAATAGTCTCCCACTTGAGCTAAAGGAGTTACTCCAGTAGCTGGTAGCAGTAGAAGGTTTTTATGAACCATCCATTAGAGAAGGAGGCAACACACACTTTACATGTATGTTACATGTGCCAGATTGGACCTTGACTATATAACATTCAAGAAAAGAGAACCAACAGTGTAACCATAAAATACAGGAAAGTGTGGGAGGGGAAAGTGGCTGGCAGAATTACTCATGAATAAGTGAATAATCAGCAATTATTTATTTGTGACCCATCAGCTGACTGGGGCCATTAGTGTTTCTGTAAGAAGGAAGTTACCTACCTCGGCCGACTGGCTTTTTCCTCCTTTTCTTCCACAGCCACATCCCGACACAGGCTGCTGTGACGACGATCAGCCCAACGCACAGAGGCCCCATCCACATGGCTGTGTCTGTGCCTTTGTCTGCGACGACAGATCAGAAACACATGACGTGGTGCCCAGCTCGACGCCGACCAGGAAAATACAGGACAAGGCCGCGTTCCCAGAACGTGGCTGCGTGTGGGAAGAAGGGCTCTTTGTCTAGCACTTGATCCCACGCCTGTGGTACCCATTCTATTGGCTCCAGCGGACTTTGGATCCAGACCATCTGGCCAGGTGCTTTATAAATAAGACACCAAGGTCCTTGCCCTAAAGCGCTGGCAATCTGAATACATGCCAGAGCGGTACGTTTTAAGGCCAGAACGGACCAATAGGATCACATAGGCCGACTTCCTGACCCGTGACCTAAAACTCAGGCTTCTTAGCGTATGTCTACACCGCAATTCAAAACCCGCGGCTGGCCCGTGCCAGCTGACTCAGCTCGCAGGGCTCGGGCTGTGGGGCTGTTTAACCGCAGCATAGACATCCGGGCTCGGGGTAGAGTCTGGGCTCTGGGACCCTGCGAGGTGGGAGAGTCCCATAGCCTAAGACAGAAAGTCTCCTCTGCAATAAAAAGGCCCCTAGCCCGAGCCCGGGAGTCCGAGTCAGCTGGCCCGGGCTAGCTTGGGTTTCTAGCTGCAGTGTAGACACACCCAAAGTGCCAGAGCAGCCGCGCCTTAGCTGAGGTTTCTGCAGAGGGGGATTGGCTGCGTGCATTGTTGTGACCTCCTCTGCTGGAGGAAACAGGATTCGTGTGCAGTCTTTAAATAAAGAAATGATACTGGAAAATACCCAAGCTCCGCCTCATTGATTTCCCACAAGAAGCTGTCCTGCCAGACCCTGAATTCTGCTGCTGCTCGGCAGAGGGGCGACGCTATATTAAGTAATAAAAGGCAAGGTTGGGACAGGCTGTAAATCCCTCACCTCCGCTTTGGCAGATGCTCTGCAGGTCAGGAGAGACGCTCTTCTGGTCGACAGGGTTGCTGGCCATGCAGGTGAAGGTAGAGTTCGGGGGGTTGGGCTGCAGAGACAGGCGGAGGGTCCTGCCATCACGGGAGAGCTGGTACCGCTCAGAATTGCCCAGGCCTCGGGGTGGGTTCCCTCTCATCCAGGAGACGTTAACCTCTTCCCTGCCAGACACCTGACACTGCAGAGTGACATTGCACCCATCGGCCGTGCTGGAGACTGAGTGACTCTTTATCTCCGGCTCTGGCACAGGCTCTGTGTTTCAATCACAAAGAAAACCCAGAATCTCAGCAATGCTCGAGAGGTCGTCTAGTCCAACCCCGGCACTAAGGCAGGGCCACGTCAGCCTAGACCAGGCCAGATTGAGCCCACTTTTCGTCTCCTACCTCCAGTGGACACAAGAACAATTGATCCCTGCCTCTTTATCACAGCCCTTCACATGTTTGAAGACTATCAGGTTCCCCCAAACCTCCGTCTTCCTTTCCCAGGACTAGACATGCCCAGTGTTTTTAACCTTTCCTCACTTTCTGAACCTTTTGTCATTTTAGGTATTCTCCTCTGGACTCTCTCCAGTTGGTCCGTGTCTTTCCTAAAGTGTGGCGCCCCGACCTGGACACGGGACTCCAGCTGAGGCTTTCCAGTGCTCGACAGAGCGGGACAGGGACGTCCCGGGTCTGGCCTACGACGCTCCTGTTCATACACCCCAGAGGGATGTCAGCCCTTTTCACAACTGCATCACACCACTGACCCATATGCAGTTTGTGATCCACTCTAAGCCCAGCTCAGCAGTTCTGCCACCCAGCCAGTGAGTCCCCGTTCTGCAGCGGCTTTTCCCTTCCTACGTGAAGGCAGGCCCTGCAGGTGACAGAGCTGCCCGAGTGCCAGCGGGCAAGTCACCCTCCATGTCCAAGCAATGGCAGGATGAACCGGCAGGGCTCGATTCACACCAGCTGGGCCGAGCTGTGCTGAGCTATCAGAGCCGGAGCAGGATTAACCCCTGCAGGAGGGCAGGCAGAGCTTCCATCGTCCTCTGCCCCCAGGGACTCCCCCCAAGTAGAAGGAGCTGTAAGCCCCACCAGTGGCTCCACTGAGACCCACTCCGGGAGAGGCTACATCCATGCTCCCCTGGCTCTCCCTAGCATGTTGCCCCGTACTGGGTGCTACTGGCCACCTACGATCCCCACCCTGGAGCGGGTAACAGCCTATTGCACCTTCCCATTGCTGCAACCTTCCCTCTGGTAAAATTTCTCTTGCTGCGGCCCTGGCACCCGCTCTGTGCCAGCTTGATTAACGTACCCTCCACTGGGGGGAATGGAATCGACAACAGCTCTAGCTCCCTGTCGTTCCACGGGCAGGAGCCCAGCGAGCTCCCAGTGGGCCCGGGGAAGGCAGAGTCTGACCAGCCGCAAAGCGATGGAGTCCCCGGGGTATCACTTGGCCAAGGGGTCAGTGGAGAAGGGAGGGGAGCTGACTCATCCCACAAACCACATATGTGTGTCCCAAAGTAACTGGCCAAATTGTCCTTGTGGGGTGTTGGTAGCCCATCTTGGGACCCCGTGAGCGCTGGGCGTTTGGCTAGGATGGAGGGGAAGGGTGATTGCGGCTAACGCAGACAATTGGGGTCAGATTCATAACCCAGATGTACCCCCAGCCACTCTCCCAGCTGCCAAGGCCAGGCAGGGCTCTGCTCACAGGATACTGCCCCACACCAAGGACAGCGGCTCAGGTGACCTGGGCGTAAGCTCAGGATGGATGGATGCATAGGGAGGATCATAGACTAATGCTAGATACAGAGACAGAGCGATGGATAGTCAAACCCCTGCACATGGTCCCTTCTGACCTTGGTGCCTATGGGTCTATCAAGATCATCTAGTGGGACCTCCTGCCCATCGCAGGCCACACAACCTCTCCTGGAAAGACCCCTAACCTCTGGCTGAGTTAATGATGGGTAAATAGACAGCTGATACGTAGGTAAATAGACTTTTCTTTTCCCCTTTTCCTCATTGCACTAAAGTTTTATTGCCCATCAAGAGCCATAATTTGTCTCAATTCACAGATGGCAGGCTTGTTCTGTGTTTCTAAATGTGGGTTTTATGGAAACTGATAAGCTTATTTGCATTAGAAACATACAGGAAGATTACAAAGAAGTTCAACAGAGATGGGCCAAAACCTGATCCCGGAGTCTGAACCCCTTTGAGTTTCGGAGACTCAGTGTGAATCACTGGATTCATCCTCGTCTCTCTGATTTTGGTTCTAGGTTGGACCCTATAAGGAAAAAGGGCCTATTTCCCAATCCTGATTCAGACACAATCAAAATCCATCAGGAACAGCCAGTCCGGTGAGATTTTGGCCCAAGATGGCAGAAATCTCTCTGAATGTCTTATCTCACTGGATTTCATCCACGCTGGCCTGAAACGTGAGAACGGCCCAGCTGAACAGCCCATCCTGACGTGGCCTGGAATCTATGGCACCTCTTGTGGAGACAGGACTGGGTTGTGAGAGGTATGAAGGGGATATTTTAGAGATGCTGCTGCACCTGGACAAACCCTGTGGTTCCCCTTAAGCCCTATTTTGAAGGCGTAAACGGTGCAGAGACCTCGTGCTGGTCGCACTGCACAGGGGTGAATTGCACCAACGTGCACAAAATCAGAGATTCAGCCGTACCCTAATATTTCTGGAAACTGGGTTACAGCTAAGAAACCGATTTGTCGTCACTTACCATAGACCGTGAGGAGAAAGGCCTGTTCCTCCAGAGTTGCTGGTACGATCTTAACCCGGGCCTCATAAACTCCGCTATCGCCCAGCTCCAGAGCCTTGATCCTCAGCGAAGTCTCGTACATTTCTAGCCTCTGCTGAAATCTGTCGCTGGGATCCGGTCGCTCAAACTTCCCTCCATTGAACTCAGCCAGCTGGATCGTCGCACCTGTCCCAGCCTTAAAGCTCCATTCGATTTTTTTCACCTTTTTCCCGGGGGATAGATCCACAGACAGCACGACCGATCCTCCCAGAGCCCCATTCACCTGCCGGTCGGAAGTCAGTTCTTGGCCAATTATGATGCCTAAAAAAATGCAAAACCAACCAGAAACAACCAAGCCTCCACCAAAAAGGATTGTGATATTTTATCAGGATGATGCTGAAGATGAACAGCTAAAGCTGTCACTGGAATAAAACACAGGGCTGACAGGCACGTGGAGGACAAGAACGAAGGAGTTAACAGGATATTATATCCCTTCACCAGGTATTTCTTACGGATAAAGGCACCAACAGGTTGTGAGTGGTGAGAACATTTCATTCACACCCACCCACATAATTTCACATTCATCCTTAAATATAACTTAGGCTCTCCTCAGGTTTTTAAATGGTATTTGGTAACCAGGAATAGTTTGTTCTCTGCAACAGAGCCTATCCTTTTTATATGCCAACAAAGGGTTTAATCTATTGCAGCCATCCCACGAATGGTCGGTAACCAATATCCACGTTTTTCCCTTGTAGTCTGTAGTGTCATTTTTGTTTTCCTTTTAATTTGATATCTAAGGTAATTCTGCTGGTGTTAAACACACCTCGTCTCCCCACCAGTGTAAAAGGCCCTGGGCATATTATCTTGCTACACACATTTGTTCTTGGTGGTGTCCTTCCGTCGTCTCCCTAATTACCTACTGCGATTCCAGTGGGAAGGAGGCTCCTTCTTCACTGACTTCCTCCCCTAAACTACTGCTGTGTTGCTGTGCGCTGTTGAACAGCTGCCCCGCTCCACCTCAGAAGTGGTCGCATTACAGTGATGGGTTCTTCGTTATTATTATTTCTATTTCAGCAGCACCTAGCAGCCCCAGTTGAGACCAGGGCCCTATTGTGCTAAGTGCTGTATGTACTGACAGACAGTCCCTGCCCCAAAGAATGTGGAGACTGGGGAGGGAGGGAGGGAGGGGGGCAGATTTTCAGACAAGCTCTGTATGTTGGGAGCAGAGCTCTTGTGAAAAATCCAGTCCTGTAGGTCCTGAATCTAGAGCCTTCCCCACATGCCTCTCCTTCCTCCCATAAAGGACCAACTTCTACCTATAGGCCCAAATCACCTCACCCTTACGCAGGCAAAGCTGCCGTTAACTTGACTCTTAAGGGGAGCTTTGCCTGAGTAAGAACTGCAGGACTTGGCCCGTATTTTATAAAGAGCATTGGGATGAAACTGGCTGTATGAAAAGTAAGGTCTTCGTGAATTTCAGTCTCATCTGAGCCAGTGTTCTTTGTTTGCCATGCTGCCCTTTGAGGGAGAAGCGACAGATGCGATTGTGTATTAAAAGGAAGATCAGGTGACCACATCACAGCGTTTATGCTGCATTAACTCTTCCAGTGGCCAAAATTATAAGCTGCTTGTTTCCTGTATTGCAGAGACATTTCTGCGCTCAGAGTCAGGAGAGGTGGGGGTTTGTGGGGGTTGTGTTGTGTTTTTCTCCCCCTTACTGGCCACTGGTAATTTCTTCTCAGCCTCAGCTCAGTTATTTGAATTCCCCCACCCCCACCCCGTGGAAACTGATCTTGATCTCTGACCGAGGGCGATTTGGTTTGCAAAGCACAAGCTGAAATGGCTAGCCAAATGCACGACCAAAAAAAACCGCACACAGTACGTGATAGAAGCACACGCAGCATGTGTGTCCTTGCATGAGATGCATAGATTTACTACTTGGGAGAGTGCAAACTTGCTTCCCCCTCTCCAAAATATTCGTTTCGCTGTCTGGAAAAGGGCCGGGGCTTGAATCTCATAGAGGGCATGGTGTTCACTGCAAAATAGCTATCTACCTGTACAGATATAGGTAGACAGCTATAGATAGCTAGATGTGTTCTTACCTCGGCTTTTCACTCTGGTTAGCAGCGTGTTGAGCCCCAGGCTGCCCTGCTGCGTTAACCCCAGATAAAAGCAGAGTTGCCGTGTGTTCACTGCTATTTTAACCAGAGTTAGATCAGCTGAGTTCAGTACACACCTTTCGGGCCGGATTTAGGGGCAGGCGACCATCTGGGGTGCCGGGCTAGGGGGCACTGGGCTTGGGGGGCTGTTTTTGTTATTAGCGACAAAAGGGGAAAATAGAACGTTTGAAGTAAAATGTTTCGGGTGTTCTGTAGGTGGATTCATTGATCATGTTAGGCCATTTCAGTTAGTCTTAAAATGAAGAAATTTCTATAAACGTAGAGGAAATGAATATTTTTTAATTTGCTTATATATGGCATGAATAAATACAGATTTACAGAACCTGGTGTGCAAATTTATCATCCTATCTGACAAGGATAAATCATGCATGCAAATCGTGCAGTCATGAAATGGGCTACAAACGCCATACAAAACAAGGCATTCAAAAGATTAACACATGGGGGGGGGGGGGGCGCCGTTTGGTCTAGGGCCAGCCCTGTGCAGTGAAGCCATACGCTTACACTGAAGCAACTTGACCCTGCTCTAGATGTAGAAAGGGACCTTCAAATTGGCACAAATATAATCTACACTAATTTGAATGTCTCTCGATGCGGCTGGAGTGGAGTAAAGGGGCCAGGTTGCATCTACACTGGAGCTGAAGATGTAAAGTCCAGCTCGAGCAGCCGAACCTGCACTAGCTCAGAGCAAGCTAGCAGCGTGGCTGACCGCACAGGTTCACAGTTTGGATTTCAGACGGGATCCCACATGGGCCGCGCCCAGGCAGCTTCATGGCTGTTTTTAGTGCATCAGCTTGATCACAGCTAGCGTAGGTACATCCACCCGAGCCTCCAGCTCCAGGGCACGTCTACACAGCAAACAAAACCCGGCAGGAGCAAGTCTCAGAGCCTGGAACAACTGACCTGGGCACTCTGGGGCATTCAAACTCCAGGTCCCGCTACGTCTAACTGGGTCCACCTAGATACAAATGAGAGGCTGTGTTGTATCAGTGTGTTCCGGCACACTGATAAGAGGGATAACCAATGATCTTACATAAGCTCTACAATGAGGCAGTTTTTACACCTGGCTGGAGGCCGTGGTGATGGGCAGCATATTAAAGAGGAAGAATGCAGCGGAGTAAGAAGCGTGCATGCCAGCCAAACCTTGGCTGGATACATGATCCTTTTCCTATAGACACGCTTCTCTTGCCCTCGGGTTACACAATGAACTTTAAGTCTGCAAGGAACAGAGCTGGAGCCAGAGGCCCCATCTACACGGGATACTGGCTGGTGCATAATAATGCGGACACAGCTGATAGCCGCAAAACGGCGCTTTTGCAGGTATCACTTATTCCACCGTTCCTGAACCAAACCAGATATACTGGTAAAACTGCGTCTACACCAGCGGCTTTTGTAGGTCAGGGATCACCCCTCCTCCCACCCCAACTGACAGAACTGTGTGTGCAGAACTGGGCCCACCTGTGGTGTAGATATAGGCTGATGCTTTGTCTGCACTGGGGATTTGCCCCAGCTCCAGTCCCTGGCATAGATGCATCACTGCAAAGGCAGGCAAAGCCACTACTTGCCCTGGTATCATTTAGCCCTGCTAGGAACTAGGGTGAACAGCATTGGTGTAAATGGTATATAACGGTTGGCCCAGCCTACGGGCAGGGTTTGCCAGTTTCAAGTCACCCCGGTGATCTGGGGGGAATTCAGGGCAGTCTGCTGGCTGGAGTCAGTGCAAATCCCCCAGTGTGAACCAAAATTTACTTTCTTTTAATGAAAGAGCAGTTCTCCAGCAATCATATCATTTGCTATACGAAGCTCACTCGTGCTGGTCACAAGTAGCAATATTATAAGATAACGATTGAAATAATTATGTAAATTAGACTGGCGCCAGCTAAACACGGGGTGTCCGACGCCAGATCTCAGCCAGGGGAGTCCAGCAAATGACGTTCGATTTCTCTCTCTTTCTCCTTTCGTACTACACAGTGTCAAATACGATTTAGGAGCTGCTGGGTTTTTTAACTCCCAGCTCTGTTATTAGAGTGTCCTCATTTAAGATCCGCTTGTCCAATTTGCTTCCAATGTAGAAGAAAAATCCTACCTTAATCCTAGAGCTAACTCACCCGGTTTGAGACCGAGGGGACTTTTTCTGCATTTCAGGGAGTGTGAAATGATATGATCACAGTTTTCTGAATATAGTTTTTGACCAGTTTTTATTCTTGCTATAATTTCCTCATGGATGGATGCATGGATGGATGGATGGATGGATGGAAGAAAAAAAAAGACAAAGAAAGACTCTATAATGGAAACTCAGTTGTAACCTTAACTACGGAGTCCTATCACTCCATAATCTAGCAGACCAGATAAACTTTTCCATCTTTAGCCTCCTCTTCCCATGTAGCAGCATGGAAAGAGCAGAAAGAGCAAACCCTGTAAGCTTCGAACCTGTGATCTAGACATTTGCCAATCTCAGGGGTAAAACATCTTTTATCAAATGAAGAAAACACTGGTTAAAATTTCTTTGCTTCTTAAACGTTTCTATGACCAAATTACAAGACCAGTGAGTAACATTAATCCAAAAATATATTCAGAAAATGTGAGAGGATTATTTTAAAGCCCTTATGATTTATTCTGTAGGTTTCCCTTCCAGTCAGTACTACACACATCTGGATGCCCCAGGACTTGGTTTAATTGTCCTAGGAGCAGTTTTAAGACAAAGTACATCAAAATCTAGGTGTACGAATAGCACGTGAGGTGTTTAGACAGAGACAGACAGGCATTCTCTAGCAGTCTGTACATTTGTAACTCCCAGATCCTTTAAACTTGTTGTTTCTCTCGCACTTTCCAAACGTACCCATCTTCTGGCATTCTATGGAAAGTTATTTTTTTTAAAGGGCAGCAGTGGAACAGAATAAAGAATAAATACAACACTGATATGAACCTTCTGGCTTATTTTTGGATCTCTGCTTACTATGGCTGGTCTTGCAAACCTCTCTAGATTTACTGTATATACGACAGCTTTCAAAACCATAAAGTACCTAGAGCTTTTGAGCACATTAATGCAAACAAATAAGTGAATTGAATAAATCCACAGGAAAATCCAAATGGGTTACAGGCATGAAAAAGCAGCACAGATCAACCCCCTTTCATCCTCACAGCCAGTGAAAAAATGAACAGTGCACAGAAATCAAGGTTTTCCAAGGTCTTTGGTTACTTTTGTTTGACACTTGTCAGAAGATTTTTTGATTGATAACATTCCAACTTCCCTCTCCAATGTTTCATGCCACTTGCCCTGCCTGCTTTCTAAATCCCTAGAACTAAAATTCATTTGGTGACAAAAGAGTTACAAACTAGTGAGCATTTTAAATAGGTTTAGTGACTCCCTCTCCAATGTTTCATGCCACTTGCCCTGCCTGCTTTCTAAATCCCTAGAACTAAAATTCATTTGGTGACAAAAGAGTTACAAACTAGTGAGCATTTTAAATAGGTTTAGTGACTCCCCAGATATTACTTACCAAATAATTATTCTGATAATATTCACCAACAGTCACTGACCAGTCACTTCTCCCCCTTGATTCTAAACTATTGCACATATACACACAGTAGCTGCTCTGAGTGCATGCACATAGGATAATTTGCTAAAGAATCTACTTACTCCCTGCAACCGTATGGTTAATGACACCTTGAATCTCCAGTACTTTACTACTGAAGAAAACCTCCTGCTTCCCTGCCTACCTGTGGGTCTTTCCCTTGTGCTGGTAGATTTTAAGCCAGTGATTAGTCACTTACCTGCCAAGAAACTGATCAGTAGCAGTAGCAGGAATGGGACAGAGGGGCGTCTCACCTCCATGTCCTCATCACTGCCTGTAGCTGAAACAATGCAATCTGAGCTGCGAATACAGGGGGAAGTGCAGCACATAGGACACACCCTGCCCTTCTCGCCCATTAGACAAACACGGGGGTGGTCTTGGAATATGCATAAATAAATAAAATGGCTAGCAAGTCGTTAACCAAGTGTGCAGATCAAGCCATTCAGAATTGGACCTCATCACTTATGAGCCATGCCACATTATTGTACCTTGTCTTAAGTAAAGTGATCATCAGTCTCACGCAGATGGGACCGAAATGAGCATTGGGTTATTTCAACATCAACATCTGGACATTTCTACTCCATGTAAACGTCGCCTTAGTTGACTCTATTTTCATCTTTTCTCTGCGGGCCAGGTGAACAGGCTGACCAAACAAAATGTCCCGAAAGTAGCTTTGCCTGTGTTTGCTTTCCACAGGGACGCTGGCAGACACACTGATTGGCAGTATAGTTCTGCTAGCTAACAAAAATATTGCATAGCTGTGGCTCCTATCACCCTAGCGTTAGAACACCTCCCACATGTAGATTAATTATCCCCACCAGACGGGGACTGCTTTGTCTCCTTTGTACATGCAACTCCCTTGGCATTAGTGAGGTTTGAACTTGAGATCTTCAGGCTCTGGTTCTTGAGCTAAAGGCCTGGGCATACTCCTACTGACCTTGGTAAAGTGCTTTGAGATCTATTGCTGAGAAGTGCTAGATAAGAGCTATGTATTAGTAAGTCATCACAGTCAAATACACTCACACACAGCTGGGTACCTAACATAGGTTAGCTATTTCACAGTAAAATTTGAATGGAGACCAGTTTCTGTCACTTTTACCACACTGTAGCTAGGTGAGGTCAACACTGCTGTCCTTGTGTGATCTCACCTAGCTATGTTGTAGGACGAGCTTCAGAGCATTGTCTCCATTAGGGTTTTATAGCACAGTAGCTAAATCCATGGTGTGTGGGTGGGTGTGTGGGAGACAAATTACACCTTTTTGGGGCAGTGAAGACATGGTCTAAGTCTGTTAGCCGGTAGTTATGCTCCATGGGCCAGCTGTAGCTGTGGGAAATATGACACACTTTGCCAGTGTCTCACCTACCACCCACCTAGCTCAGGTGGGAGTTGAGATGAAGTCATGTGCTCAAGGTGACAAAACTGAGATATCCCACGTTCCAGGCCAATGACTTGGCCATGGGACCGGCCTCTTGCAGTCTGGCCGAGATGGGCCTGAAATGGTGAAAGCGTCCCCTAGTGCTTCTAAAGGAGCTTTCTCGTCAGTTTCAGTTGACAAAGTGAAAAATCTAGAAGGGGGGGAAACCCAGGGGGTTGAGGAAGGCTGCAGTGAATTTGCAGGTCTCATGCAAACACAAACACACAATAATGACTTGTTAGCTGCACACGGACACAGACAATAGCATTTGGAAGGGCAGCTGATCAAAAAAAAATAATAATTTTTTTCCCCTGTGCAAAACTTCGGTTTTCAATAGAAATTTGAAACTAAACAGTTTTGGCCAAACCCCGAAATATTGCAATTTGGAAATGCTGTGGCTTTGCCCGATGGGAGTCGTAGTTTGGATGCCTTAAATTCCAGGCTTCCTGGTCAGACTACAAATCCCCCCTTCATCAGAGAAGTCCCTGGCCATGGTGCATTATGGGAGATGTGGGCAGGTCAGGAAGCCTCACCCATAGAGAATGGAGACAGGAGGTAATTGACCTACAGTTCCCATGAAGCACCATGGGAACATTGCGAAATCCAAACAATTGAGTTTGCGGGCATTCAGTTTTTCAATGACAAATCAAAGTCTTCTGCACAAAGCAGCCACTTTCCCTGAAAAATTTTGGTTTAGTCAAAATCCCGGTTTCCCAGCAAAAACTGTTTTTCATGGAAAAAGTTTTGACCAGCCCTAATTAGAACGTTAATCTCCAAAAGGCCGTTACTGGTAAACCGGCTCTTGATTAAGAGAACTATTTACAGACATGCTGCAGCCCAGATTCCAGCCCTGTGCACACAGACTGACTTCCGAGTGCCTCCTCCAAACTCTTCCCCCCTGCAACCTGTGCTCCTCCCGCCAAGTTCTGCGCCAGTTGCTACATCTTTCCTTGCAACCATTTTTGTTGCTGTTGTGTCCTTTGTGCCAGCGTTTGCTGATTTGCTGGGGCTGGAGGTTATTAGTACATAGCCCACTGCAGGGACATGGTCTGTACTGCTGGGCCATTGTAATCTGTTAGGTCTCCTAGCCATTCAAGTGTGCTGGCCTTTGTCCCCCTCTCCCGCTTGCCCATGTTATTGTGGTTGGTGGGGCACTGGCTTCCCCCCTCTTGCTGCCATCATTCTGTTGATCCTCCTACGTCAGTCCCACTCACAGACTTTAAGTAGGGTGACTAGACAGCAAGTGTGAAAAATCGGAATGGGGTGGGGGGTAATAGGCACCTATATAAGACAAAGCCCCAAATATCGGGACTGTCCCTATAAAATCGGGACATCTGGTCACTCTAACTTTAAGGCAGGAGTGGCAGAAGCACCCTAAAAGTGTGTGTGGGGAAGGGGCCACAGTCGCCCAAACCGTGGCTCCCGCCCCCTGCTCACTCCTCTCCACCCCTCCCCCCATCACTCACCCTTAGGGCCGGTAAAAAGTGGGCAGGTATCGCCCTTGCACCTTTAAAAGTGTGTGGGGGGGGCATGGCCCCCTGCCCCCTGTTCTGGTGCCCCTGCTCTAAAGTCAGAAGGGACCATTATGATCCTAGTCTGACCTCCTGCCCATCGCAGGCCACAGAACCTCCCCCACCCTCTCCTGTAACAGACCCCTCACCGCCTGAGTCACTGAACTCCTCACAGCATGACTTAACAACTTCGCCTTCCAGAGACGCTGCCATCCACACTAGATTAAACCTGCAAATGACCCGTGCCCCAGGCTGCAGAGGAAGGCGTAAAACCCACAGGGTCTCAGTCAATCTGACCTCAGGAAAACTCCTTCCTGACCCCAAATCTGGTGATCAGTTGGACCCTGAGCATGTGGGCAAGACCCACCAGCCGGACACCTGGGAAAGAATTCTCTGTAGTAACTCCGGGGCCTCCCCGTCTAGTGTCCCATCTCCGGACATTGGAGATATTTGCGGCTACGTGCCATTGTGGGCAGTCCCATCCTACCACCCCCTCCATAAACTTCTCAAACTCAGTCTTGAAGCCAGTTAGATTTTTTGCCCCCCCCCCCCCGGCTCCCCTTGGGAGGTTGTTCCAGACCCTCACTCCTCTGACGGTTAGAAACCTTCGCCTAATTTCAAGCCTAAACTTGCTGTTGTCTGAGGCTCTTTTACTCCGTCCTGGTCCTGTCCGTGGCCCTGCAGTCCAGGCGTGCCAGCTGTTTGCAGCGACTCCACCCGCCCCCCCCGAGTCTGCAGACCCCTGCAGCGTGCACTGCTCTCACTTCCCTAGATTCCTGTGGCTATTCGATGGTTGGACCCAACCTGCTCACCTGTGGGTAGCGGCCTCAGGTCTTCGGCTTCTTTGTTGTAACAGCTGCCTGCTTCGCTTGGCGTCTCCTCACAGCGGCTGTGTCTGCGGCCGGGCTGCAGCAGATGGCCCCTCATGGGCTCTCCGGCCCATCGGTCCCTGTGCTGGGCTACTGTCTCGTCTCCGGGAGGGTGTGTGCTGGGAGGCGAGGAGGGGAGAGCAGGGGTGGCAGGTGCTGAAACCAGCCAAGCCAGGATGGAGCGGAGAGTGGCCTGGGAGCTGCCTCTGTCACCAAGACATTGGGCAGGGAAGGTTCAACGCGCCGACGCCCACAGGGGACCCACGGCACAGCAGGGTGGCCGGCAGAGGACCCAGAGGGGCCCCACAGCACAGCCCCCTGGTGCTGCCAGGTGAGACCAAGGGCCTAGGAGTAAACTTCCCTTGTAGCCATTGGGGGACCATGTTGGGACCCAACTGAGGCGATTTCAAAACTGCCATTGGGTCATGTCCCTGGGGCACCCCAAGGGTGGGGAGCAGAGTGGGGGCAGGCACCCCGTCAGGATTTCAGGGAGTACTCCATGTTCCAAGACAGAGGGGGTCACCGCAGAGGCACAAACCCCCACACCAAACAGGAGAGCGAGAGATGACCCCCCGGCTCCTCCGGGAGCGAGAGGACTGGCAAAGGGTTGGTTGGGCAGGTGAGCGTAGGCCAGGCTAGCGTGGCATACAGGAAGAAGGGGGCAGGAACGGTCAGGAACAGGGGCCATCGAGGTTGGGTTTGGGACTTGAAAGGGGGAAATCACTGGGGGGAGACGCTGCTCTGCCCTGCTGAGCTTGTGTGTAATGAGGCAAGCCACCGAAAACAGGAGGCAAGCTCCGGAGAGCCCGTCCCCACTCGTCACCCATTGGTGAACGGGAATGGCGTCGGGCGGCTCCTACCCTAAAGCTAGCATGGCGCTGGCTGTGACTGTCACTGGGGTGTATGGGCATTGCTGCTTCTCCCCTCCCCCTGCAAAAGCAGGTAAGGACCCAGCTTTCCCTGGTTGGCGCGGGATGCACAAAAGAGGGAAGCAGAAGAGGGAAGCAAGGAGAGACCAAGTTCTCTTTTCTCCGCGCTGGAATCCCTGAGCATTTTGGTTCGCACATCAGAGGAAATAGCAGGGTCAAGAGACACTCCCTGATCAGCCCCCCGTTCCAAACACCCCACTATTCTCCGGCCAAGGGGGTGAAAGCAGCATCTGTCGCCATCCACCGCAGGTGCGGGAGCTCGCTGCTTCAGGAGAACAGGCCCAAAGAGCTCCAAACCCTACTGGGGTCCCACCCATCATGCAAAGGCCCATTGCCCGCTCCCACCATCAGAAAAAACCCACAGCGGTTGGTTGTAAATTTGCATACATTTCCTTATATTTACATGAAAATAGCACAAATCATCCGATGCTTTATTGGACAGACTAATCTAACCGGGGACTGAAGCCAGGGCAAAAGCAGACTTGGAAACACTTCAGCGGAGGGGGCTACTTCTCCACACACAGAAACCACCTTCAGATTTCCCAAGAGAGGCTCCTGCTCTGTTTTCAGTTATATTACAAGAACGCCTGGAGTCGCCCACTGAGATGAGGGCCGAGGCTCTGCTCGACTAGACAGTCAATCCCCAGTGTCAATAGACAGGACAGACAGGAGAAAGGAAGCACGGCAATCCTCCAAGCACTAGACCAACGCTGCCTTCCCCCACCAGAGCTTTTCCCAGTTAGTGTGTGGGAGGTGGGTCCGGGATCACCGTGGGCTGCCCAACTCTCCCCATCTTGCATGTGTCACTAGAGAGCCTAACAATCCTGATCCCAGCTGCCCAACCAAATCCGGCAGCAGGTTTTCTTTTCCTCTCCCCCGGCCCCTGAAAGATTTTTGGGCTTTTGATGATTTCTCCTCTGAAGAGCTTCTCTGAACTTAAAGGGGAACTTTCCTGGAACACAGGGCCACTTTGTGCTGGTCTTCCAGGTCCTTTAATGTCTGAGGGTTGCTTAGCAGCTCTCGGAGAGGGTTTCCATGGTGTGAGTGCTGTGAACAGCAGGGGGGTGGTACAGATGCCAAATCACAATTACCCCTTTGATGTAGTGACAGCAAGGCCAGGCGCCCAGTAACAGAACACCGTGGGGCTAGCTACCCCTCACTAACACCCACACCTCTGCCATTCACCTCTACAGGGAACCACCATCCTGTGTAGCATCTTCAGGCCAATACAAGACACGCTCATTGTCCCTCCCGGTAATTCCCTCCTGCTAGACTGTGTCCTTCTCTTCCTTGGCCAAGTAGGGGTGTAAGGGGGAAGAGTAAGACCTTCCAGATCTCGGGGCGCCCCGCCCTAGACATTACCCCTATAAGCAAGCGGACACATGCTCCCTTTCAGTGACTGCAGTAACTTATTGAATTGCTCTGGGGGGCAGGAAGGGCTGGAAACAGACTCCCGACTCCGATTCTTTCTTGAGGTTGCTCATGGCAGGGCTCAGCTCTGCCCTGCAGCTTGTGCCCCTCAGCTTGAGCTTCAGGGCCTTCCCCACGGCCAGGTTCTACCGCCCTGGCTCACTTTCAGTGGCACCTTGCTCCGAGCAATCCTAGCGATCCCAGCAGGTGAAGGCGAGAGTGGCAGAATCTAGCCCTGACTCTTTAACCCGGTCAGTTTGTCTCTCATTAATATCACTTCTGCCAAGTCACCCTCAGCTCCCCGGATCTTCCTCAACACCTTCCCGCCCCAGTCTCAGCCAGAATAGCCCTGGGAAGAGCCTGCTGCGAGCTTGATATTCTGTGCTGCTTTTCTGCCGGCTACGTGTGGCTTTGCCCCTGCGCCTTTCTGTCTTGGGGTATTTGGCATGCAGGGAAATTTTGCTTTTATTTCTTCCACAGGATCCAGAATGTTTTGCGGCAAACTGCAATCTGACTGCCCTTTACTCAGTCAATCCCCAGTACCCTCAGTCAGTCACTAATTCAGACACCCTCCTACCTTCCTCTCCCCCCCCTATAGTTCCCCTCCCTGCAAGGCACAGCACCATCTGTTCCTATTTCTACTTTAGAAAACTTCCCTTCCTCCAAGGATCACAAAGAAAACAGGCCCCCGGATCCAATGTCTCAGTCACATGTACATCGACCTTGCAGGGCTAGCATTATCAAACAGAATAGATAAATAAATACATGGTGCATCCAAGTCCCTCACAGCCCACAGCCCTGCAGCATCACACAGCCAGAAGGATGCCTCCATCCCGGGGGAGCCCATTTTCCGACGTTGCTTCTCCACAGTCATGCAGCTAGCGGGCCAGGCTCAGACGTGAGCGGTTTCCTTCTTGGCACGGGCCATTTTGCACCGTGGCACGTGCCCTCTCACCACCCTCCGCTCCTCAGTGGATGGCGGGATTCTGCCCCTGCTGGAGGCCAGTGCACCAACCATGGAAACACGGGCTCCTGTTCCCTCCCAGAGTCTGCTCCTCCGCCTTCACTCAGGTTCCTCCTTCCCAAAACAGTTGCTGAGGGCTTCACACACGAGGTTCTGAAACAACGCGGGGGTGGGGAAGCGTCGCAAGGCGGGCTCCGGAGCTGGAGAAGGTGTCTTCTTCCATTGGGGTTTGTGGGTGGAACTGAGACCGTTCAGCTACAGAGTTTGAGTGGGGCACACGGTGCACTTCAAAGCCCTTGGTAAGCTCTGATACGCCACCACATCTGGTTCCTGGGGGGGAAAGAGAGAAGGGCTCAGCACCTGGCCAGCATGCCTCCCCCACCCCACCGCCTCTGTATCCTAAAGCATCGGCATGAAATGACTGATCAGACGGGCCCAGATTCTCAGCTGGTGCAAAACAGCACCTCTCCCCAGAGCTACGCTGAGGTACAGCAGCTGATGACCTTGCCCCTCGCAGTACGCCTATTCCTACGCTCCCAGAAGTGGCTCTTTTTATTGTTCTCTTTCTCGTCCCCACTCAGAGGTGCTGGAACCAATGCCACACCCCCTGGTTTGAAGTGGTTTCCGTCATAGACATGGTTTTCAGTTCTGGCAGCAGGCAGCAGTTCTGCGGAAAAGGACCTAGGGGTGACAGTGGACGAGAAGCTGGATATGAGTCAGCAGTGTGCCCTTGTTGACAAGAAGGCCAATGGCATTTTGGGATGTATAAGTAGGGGCATAGCGAGCAGATCGAGGGACGTGATCGTTCCCCTCTATTCGACATTGGTGAGGCCTCATCTGGAGTACTGTGTCCAGTTTTGGGCCCCACACTACAAGAAGGATGTGGATAAATTGGAGAGAGTCCAGCGAAGGGCAACAAAAATGATTAGGGGTCTAGAACACATGACTTATGAGGAGAGGCTGAGGGAGCTGGGATTGTTTAGCCTGCAGAAGAGAAGAATGAGGGGGGATTTGATAGCTGCTTTCAACTACCTGAAAGGGGGTTCCAAAGAGGATGGCTCTAGACTGTTCTCAATGGTAGCAGATGACAGAACGAGGAGTAATGGTCTCAAGTTGCAGTGGGGGAGGTTTAGATTGGATATTAGGAAAAACTTTTTCACTAAGAGGGTGGTGAAACTCTGGAATGCGTTACCTAGGGAGGTGGTAGAATCTCCTTCCTTAGAGGTTTTTAAGGTCAGGCTTGACAAAGCCCTGGCTGGAATGATTTAACTGGGAATTGGTCCTGCTTCGAGCAGGGGGTTGGACTAGATGACCTTCAGGGGTCCCTTCCAACCCCGATATTCTATGATTCTATACAGTTTGGTTCAATGGCTCTTAGCACCCCAACAATACAAATTGTTCCAGCCCCCCCTGGCCCCATCCCAGCCTGCCTGTGAAGGAGATGGGGTGATCAGCCAGGTGGGATGGGAGGGTCTGTACTCTTCTCTCCCTCCATCCGTCTCTCTGCAGTCGGTGGAAGGTGCTGGGGCTCAGCACCTCTGAAATCCAGGCTCTGCTGGCCAGGTTTTCAAGAGCTCCCCACACTCAGCCAGACCCATTGTCCTCAGCAAGCGAGGAGGGGAGTCTCCATTATTCTCAAGAAGCGAGGAGACGTCTCCATTTTCCCAACAGGAGATGCCAAGTGCTGAGCTCTCTTGAAAATCCAGCACCTCCCGCTGGGACCCAACACTTGCCCCATTCCAGGACACAGGCCGCTTCTGAAATTTAGGTCAAAGCAAAGGCCTTGTCCATCTTCAGTGCTGCAGCGATTTGAGGAAAGGACTGATTTGCAACCAGTTCAGTTAAATGGGTGCTAGCTCCCTGTGTGGACGCTCGTAATCTGATTTGAATCTGGTTTGTGAATGAGTTCGTTTGTCAGTTCCTCATCCCATTCAGCTAAATCGACAAACTGGATTTAAAATGAATTAAGAGCATCCACTCAGGGGCTTGCATTGGTTTAACTAAATCAGTTTTTCAAGCAGTTTAAATTAAGCCACTGTGACTTTGGCTACAGACAAGGCCAGCCCCTTGAGATGTGGCCCTTTGGAGGAGACAGTGTGGCCTAGCGGATAGAGCACTGGGCTGGGACTCAGGAGATCTTGGTTTTATCCCTGACACTGCCACTGGCCTGCTTGGCAAGTCACTGACTCGCTCTGTGCCTCAGTTTTCCCATCAGTGAAATGGGCATAAGGATCCTGACCTCCTTTCTAAAGTGCATTGAGACCTATGGACGAGAAACGCTCTGGAACAGCTCGGCACTATGTTATTATTCCCAAAATGTCCAGTTCTGGGTAAACAGCAGCAGCTGTGGGAGAGCATCTCAACTCCTGGATGCTTTATCTGAGTCCAGCCTACGCTCCAAACCTTTCCAGATCCTCCCATCCCCCAAGCTGTCCCTTGGCCACGTCTTTAAACACATGGACAGAAAGCAGCGTCTCCCTCACCTGGGGGCCTATGTGACCTCCTCGGATGTATTCTCGGGGGTCCTTTGGAGCTGGTCGTAGATTGTGGTGATTAAAGGCTCTTTCTGTGGGCTCCGCTCTGTGTTATTTTCCAGGTGACGTAGGGCCTGAAACAAAAGCAGACACGTTTGTTATGGGGAGGACTTTGCAAGCCATTTTCTCAGCAGATGAATTTGGTAAAAATTCTCCCCCAAAATCAGCAAGGGTTGAACGTGCCAGAGCACAGACTTCTACCACCTGAACTAACAGAGCAATTCCATACCTGGTAGCAGTTGTAGGTTGTTATCCTCTAGGCAGACCAGAGCGGGACATGACACACAGTGCTGTTACCCTTGCAGCAGTGGACATGGCTTAATCTCACCCCTCCAAACTCAAACCTCTATGCTAAATGAGGAAACCCTGGTAGGAACATTGTTTGTATGAAGTGTTTGGTCCTCAGTCCTTGCAATGGTTTGATGTGTCTGTGAAGACCCCACCATGGGTCATCAGCAGGGATAAACCCAGCACCTTCAGCCTCAAGAAGCACAAACCACATCAGCTTGGGCTAAAGGAGCGACACTGTTAACCAATAGCAGTAGTAGATTGTTATCCTCTGCATACCAGTCACTAGAGGGAGACGTGGCACAGTTGGGCAGCGGGGTTCCCATTCACACAACACTGTCTTGGTGCAGCATGCCAACCCGGGGCTGCACCAGTGCATTCTGGGATCCTGGAGGCACGGATCCCATAGTGCCTTATACTTCTGCTGTCAGCAAAGACCACTGGGTAGCTTCCACCCTGCTTTGCGAGACAGGATGCATCTGAACCCTTGGGACTCCTGGCCTCTCCATCAGTGTATAGACAAAGATGGGGGGGGGGGGGGGGGCTCTTCACATTGCCCACATGTGCAGTACCTGCCTGAAGGGCTCCTCCATGTGCAAACACAGACAGATGGCCGGCTGGCCTGCTCCCCTCCTTACACCTAAGCAAGGAGCAATAAACAGGACAGTGCGGATGTGGTGTAGGACGACACACTGCAGGCTCCTAGGGTCACTCTTAGCCTCGCCCGGCTCTGAGCAGCCACCCCACAAAGCCCTGCCCATCTTACTGAGTCTTCACTGGTGCTTGCACTCCCCCCCCCCCACGCCGCTAGGACTTCTGGGGGCAGATCCCCCAGCTCTTAGCATTGCCGTGCGCCCAGCTGCTCTGATTCTTTCCCAGTGGTTTGTGGGAGAACTTGTCCGTCCTGCTGGGCATGTAGGGGATTGTGGGAAGGCACTGGAGGGCTAGGTGGGCCGTAGCCTGCAGCCACGCCGCAAAGCGGGTGGGGGACCGGCCTGAGTGAAAGCAACACCCTGGCTCTAACCCACCCCCCGTGGAGCCAGCAGCGCAGGTTTGAAAGCACCACTGAACTCAGGAGAGAGGGTTGTGTGTGGACGGGAGGGAGACAGGGGCAGCCCAAATAAGAGCCATACAAGAGACATACAAAGGTACCCCCAGCGAGGTACAAAGGCGCAAACGTACACACCCAGGGGAGATCACACTTCCAAAGGGAAGAGAAGAGACATACACACCGCAGAGAGAGCAACCCCCTTCCAGAAAGGACACATGCACCCATTAGAAAGACAGCCCCGGCCCCCAGAATGGAGCAACACACAGAGAAGCTCTACGCACACCCGAATGACAGCTACAGCCCCAGAGGAGATGCACAAACCAGACAGGGGAACGGTGTGCAGCACACAGGAGCATCACGCACACACACAACCCAGCCGAGAGAGAAGTCATGCAGACGCTTACGCATGCCTCCCCGGGTGCAGAGCCTGATGCTCCCCAGAGGAGACACACACACACACAGCAAAGAGCAGCCACACCCAGACAGAAGAGCGACACAATGGACAGAAAGGAGCAATGCATGTGTCAAAGAGAGAAAGAGCCCACCCGCTACTCCCTCTCCTCCTTGGGCCAGGCAGCTCATGATTGACAGAAGTGATCATTTCTGCTGGGCAAAACAGCAGAACCTGGTGGCCGTAGCAAGAGGATATAACTTCCTGGAGCTGCCACAAGAAGGAAGTTTAAAGAGGACGTCAGAATCCCTTCCCCTAGAGAGATCACAGTCCAAACACACAAAGGGCGAGACATCTAGAGGGAGGATCTCTTTCCTACAGCCCTGCCTGCTGCATCACTTATTGCTAATGTCTAATGAAAGAGCCCCGGCCATCCCCCTGCACAAGGCAGTGCTTGGCGGGGAAGGCTGCTGGATAACCTCAACTCAGAGCACTCACCTGGTCATTACCTTCTGGGGGACTCCTCAAGATCTCAGTGTACTGTGGGTCAGACGGACTTTCTTCCACTGGGCCCGTGGGGGTGGCAGCTAAGGAAAGAGCATGAGGTTAAGAGAGAAGCGAGAAAAACCAAGTTCCAAGCAGCCCGGAGCGTCGGGATCTTTGCCACTCGCGCCTCACGTCTCTCGTGAGCTGAGCCCTGCACAGATCCAAATCCACAGAGCCACCCCCACAAAATCACGGGCAGGGAATCATGCGAGTCCTTCTCCAGAGAAGACACAATCAGGCATGTTTGATGCTAAGATGCTGAATCCTGGGTACATTTGGATCATAATGAAAAAGGGGTTAAGGCCTTGAATATGACGGGCATTGGGCCTATTCTCCCCGTGGCCAACTCTCATGAGTTTATCATGAGCCTCGTGGTAGTTGGTATGTTTCTTTAAGCCGCAGCTCCTGGAGTCGTGATTACGGGAGAGTCTCTGCGCTCATTCAAAAAAAAAAAAAGCCAGATTCTAGCCTCCTTTGCAGAAGAGAGTTCAGATCAGAGCCCTGCACAGGACTATTATTTAATCCTGCTATTACGGCAGCGCATCCTGCGGGATCCCAGTCCTGCTGCAGGGCTCTAGTTCAGACATCACAGCAGAGTCCAGCCCTGGTGCAAGCGATGGGCTGGAAAGGGCTTTCCTTACCTGGGTCAGCTGACTTCTCGTTGTTCATCCGCCAACACCAGACCGCAGTCCCAAGGCTTAGCACTAACAGGAAGAAAGTCAGCACAATGTACCCTGGCTTCGAGAAGGACACGTCTGCATCTGGAATGGCAGAGGCTGGAGGTTAGCGGCATCCCGCCAGGGCTTTGGGGTAATGAAGAGCCAGGGCTTAACGTCCCCTAGCCATCAGGCCGCAGCTGAAAGAGATGCCGCCGCTCATGGGGCCTGAGCTGAAAGGGAACCTTCAGTGGCTGTGGGACAGACCCATGGTGAGAAGGGGACTTCAGACTCTACGCCCAGCAAGGCCATTTGCTCCCAGTCATGGGGGTGTTATTTGTTCACATGGGGCCCCTCTGAAGAGTAACCAGACCCAACGATGACTGAGCTGGATACAAACCAACGACCCGTTCGATACCCAAATCCCCTGAGGAACGCAGTCCCTTTCTACGCTGTGTAGCAAACGGGGCAGTGTTTCTTAGGCAACTCCTCATGCCCCTCATTAGATCTGCGTCTCCCATCCCCATAGCCTCTGGGCAGCATAAGCGAACGTAGCATCAGGACACCGCAGTGAGGTAGAGCGGCGGGATCGTCCCTCATTTCTACAGTCAGGGAAACTGAGGCATGGGGGGGAAGTGGCTGGACCAAGGCCACCTAGCAGGTTAATGGCCGAGCTGGGAATAAAAGTGAGGTCTCTCGAGTCCCAAGCTGGTGACCTAACCACTAGACCGCACTCTCTCCCTGAACCAAAGCATCAAGTGTTGCCATCAACACAGAGACAGGCCACAAGCCCCTCACCTCCACTGCGGCAGATGCTCTGCAGGTCGAAGGAGACGATCTTCTGATCCACGGGGTTGCTGACCGTGCAGGTGTAGGTGGCATTCCGGGAGCTGGGCAGCACAGACAGCTGGAGCGTCCTGCCATCAGGGGAGAGCTGGTGCCGAGCCGGATCCAGCTCTTGGACTGGGTTCTCTTTCCCCCAGGAGATGCTCACATTTCCCTTCCCCGAGACCTGGCATTGCAGTGTGACGTTGCACCCCTCCAGCGTGCTGGCGAGCAGCTGACTCCGGATCCGGGGCTGCGGCACCGGCTCTGTGTTCAAAGACAAGCGACATTCAGAGGAATCGGATCCGCTCCGGTCACCGTGACAGCTGATCCCTGCTGCTCGGAGCCCCGACACCCCGTTCACCCCGACCCCGACCCAGGGCAGGTTGGAAGTTCCAGAAGGGAAGAATGTGACTGAGCGCGCCCTTAGTGAGGCAGAAATTCCTCGGAATGCAGGAGTTCTGAGTGTAGCTAAACAGCACGGTCCAGGAGACGGGCCACCTTAGAGCTGGTCTACAGGAGAAGGTGAGGTTGACCCTGTTTTATCCATACAGTAAAACCCCCACCAGGCACACGCCATAATCTTGGAGCTGAATCTCTCTGCAGGACTCTGTATTACCAGCCCCCAACCTTGAAAAAAAATCACGAGTCAAGCCCCCAATCAAGGAAGATGATTTTTAAGCCAGAGGGTTTGGAAGCCAAACCACACACTTTCCTTGCCTTTGGCGTCACTCCCGTCACCATTTCTAGCTTCTCTCTGCAACCAGGATGAGAAATATTTTTTAGAAAGGAAAGCTGAGATTCTCATGCAGTCTCTTGATTCCAGCAGCTGGGGCTTTAAGAGCCATGCCAGCGAGGGTGAGAATTGCGGTAACATTGTTTGACAGCACTGGCTTTCTTGTGCTCAACGTTTATTGAACCGTAATAGGTGCATAGACCCCGTGCTGGCCCCTCTGCACAGGGGAGAATTTCACCCCAAGTGCACAAAATCATTTGGCAGTGTGGCCTAGTGGATTGAGCACTGAACTGGGGCTCAGAAGACTTGGGGTCTATTCCTGACTCTGCCCCTCTCCTGCTGGGTGACCTAAGGTGTGTCCCTGCCCCGTGCCTCAGTTTCCCCATCTGCAAAATGGGGGTAATGCTACTGACCTCTATTGTAAATTGCTTTGAGATCTACAAATGGAAAGAGTGAGGGATTACTGTTACTATCAGAGCTTCAGGCACTGTGTACTCCTGGAAACGCCGTTAAATAGCGATTTGTCAGCACTTACCATAGACCGTGAGGAGAAAGGCCTGATCCTCCACAGTTGCTGGTATGATCTTAACCCGGGCCTCATAAACTCCGCTATCGCCCAGCTCCAGAGCCTTGATCCTCAGCGAGGTCTTGTACATTTCTAGCCTCTGCTGAAATCTGTCGCTGGGATCCGGTCGCTCAAACTTCTCCCCATTGAACTCAGCCAGCTGGATCGTCGCACCTGTCCCAGCCTTAAAGCTCCATTCAATTTTTTTCACCTTTTTCCCGGGGGATAGATCCACAGACAGCATGACCGATCCTCCCAGAGTCCCATTCACCAGGTGGCGGGGAGTCGGTGCTTGGGCAACCAGGATATCTAAGAAAGAGGGCAAGGCAGAAACGTTACAGCCTTCTAGCGTGTCACAAGATAAACAGAAAAGCAGCAGAAAGGAGGCAAATCGAAGCAGGGTTTTTAGTTTGCTAAATTTCCCTTCCAGGCTGCATCTCTGTGTGCTCTCAGTAGCTCATCAGGTTATGTCTAGGCTGCAGCTCAGGGGCGCATTTGCAGCAGACAGACATGCCCACCCTAGCTCTAATCTAGCTAGCTCAGGTACTGGCTAGATACCTGTGCACTCAGTGTCCCGGGGGGCTTGCACAGCCTACGGTGCTGCGGCTTCCCTGCTATTGATGCGTGAGCGAGCGAGATTAAAGCGGATCCGTCTACACCTGCCACAATCACACACCCTGAGGGCAGCATAGACACAAGCTGAGAGGGAAGGGAAACGCCTCTGTGACACGTGGCTAGAAAGGGTTAAACATCTGGCCAAATAAATAACCATCATAAGATATGTGGGGAGATAATGTTTGTGGTTTTGTGTACTTACATATGTATGGGTAGGGTGGACAATGTTAATCAGGTTTCAGAGGAGCAGCCGTGTTAGTCTGTATTCACAACAAGAAAAGGAGGACGTGTGGCACCTTAGAGACTAACCAATTTATTTGAGCATAAACTTTCGTGAGCTACAGCTCACTTCATCGGATGCATACTGTGGAAAGTGTAGAAGATCTTTTTATATACACACAAAGCATGAAAAAATACCTCCTCCCACCCCACTCTCCTGCTGGTAATAGCTTATCTAAAGTGATCACTCTCCTTACAATGTGTATGATAATCAAGTTGGGCCATTTCCAGCACAAATCCAGGTTTTCTCACACACACACCCCCCCACACACAAACCCACTCTCCTGCTGGTAATAGCTTATCTAAAGTGACCACTCTCCTTACAATATGTATGATAATCAAGGTGGGCCATTTCCAGCACAAATCCAGGGTTTAAGAAGAACATCTGAGGGGGGGGGGGTGTTAATCAGCAGTCCCTGTCTACACTGTATTCTGATAATTCAGAGATCAAAAGAACATCCTGTCATGTAAATGAATTGTAAACAAGGGATATCTCAGTATTCATCTCTCTTTGAAATGTACTGTGAATGGTGGAGGAACAAGCAAATGGCCTTATGTTAATTCTATAGCTAAGTACCGGTGATAGACCTCCTTCAAAGTCTTCCTAATTCCCTTTTGTTCTCTGAGGAATTCCAACTTGTCAAAAGACATGAAATTGTATAAAAGATCTTTGGGTCCTGATTCTGTCATCTCACATCTGCTTAGGCGTCTCATCAGGGAAAGTCTGAGTTGCAAGAGTGAGGTCCCAGTTATGCTGGTACACCCGGAATATGAGATTTGGACATTGAACTATGACCTATGACCTATTTCTGAAGGAACTCTTTGCCACTACAAAGCTTACCAGCTCTGCTCTGAATCTCAACCTCAGTGAACCGAACTCATGTCTTTGTAAATATTGATCTTTTAACCATATCCTCTCTCTTTTTTTAAATAAATTTTAGTTTCGTATAAATAAGAACTGGCTGTAGTATGTATTTGGGTAAGATCTGGAACATTCGTTAACCTGGGAGGTGACGTGTCCAATCCTTCAGGATTGGGAGAACCTTTTCTTTTAAATGATGAAATAAGATTGACAGAATTTTTCATCATATTTGATGTGGGTACCTGGATGGCAGCCTGAGACCGGATCACTTGAAGGGAACTGTGTTGTTTGGACTTCTGAGTAACCAGTGAGGTAATAAAGAAGCTGTTTTATGCTGGCTTGGTGAATTTAAGTATTGGATTATCCACCAGCTTTAGGGGGGTTGTCTGCCCCATTCTTTGCAGTTCACCCTAATTGAGGGACCACAGCTGGCCCCCCCCAGGACTCCGGTCACAATCACACACCCTGAGGGCAGCGTAGACACACGCGGAGAAGGAAGGGAAATGCCTCCCTGTGCAGAGGGCTTGCACAAGGCATGCTGCACCACTTGAGTTCTCAGCATAGGGTTTCAGAGCGTGCTAAGTGGCACTTATGCCTTCTGTAGTGGCCCTTTGCACGGGGTACATTCACTCTTCACGAGTTTTGCCTGAGCCTGCAAATTGTTATCAGGTGAATAGTCACATAGGCCACAAAGATATTTAAGTTCCTGACTGCCCTATAGAAGTTTGATGGCATTTAGACTTCTATGATCTAGACCATAGAACTTAGACTGTGAGCTCCTTGGGGCACGGACGGTCTTCGTTCTGCATTTGTCCGGCCCCTAACACAGCAGAATCCTGGTCCAGGAGTGGAGCTGCCAGATAATAATTACAGCCCCATTGAGGTCAAGGGCTTGCAGGGCTAGAGCCGCAAGTGGAGACCATTTGGTCAGGGTAATGCATTTCCCCAGATCCAGCCTCCCGTTTGCAGGAAGACGTTCCTGTTGACAAGGAAACCGGCGAAGATTCTGAGCTCAGCTGTTTCTTTTTAGCCCACGTTCATCAGAACCGCTTTGGTCGAGAAGAATTGAAGCAGGAATCTCATCAGAACAGCCCCTGAGATTTTGGGAAGGGTTCCCCATAAACATGGCCACATCACCTTGCTTTCTTCGTTTGCCCTAGTAGATTGACAGCAGCGAAGCAGCTGGTAAGCTGAGACCCCCTGCTGAATAATAGCTCAGGGAGTGTGTCTACACGGCCATCATGCACCATTCAGATACATTTTAGTTCATGCTGGTCTGGTTGTGTGATCCTCTGCGAAAGCCTAGCCCTGAAAGCACCTTGGAGGGAGGGGAAATGAATGTTCTATATTTTGTTTCTATAACAACAAATGCCAGCCTCATTAAAAGCCAACTAAAGCCTGCTGAGAAATCTGATATTTCTTTGGGATTAGGCCATGGGATCCCCCCCCGCACACCATCTGGTGCATTTTCAAACTGTGTTGACGCAGGCACGTGTGTGCAGTGCAGGGGAGTTTCACCCTGGGTGAAGAATGATAGCGGGCCAGCTCAGATGTCTTTGCGGAGGCAAAGCCTTCCTTGGACTCAGCTGGGGCATAGGTCCACATGGTGTAGATTAGCTTCACTTTATTGAAGTGAATAGGAGCCCCCAATACCCAGCGGATATCCATCAGCATTGCTCCATTGATTGCTATGGGAATAGTCTGATTTACAACAGCAGCAAATTTGGCCCTGGGTAAACAATAGCCAACACCTTTCACCCTTTAGGATCCCAAAGGGGTTTGCAAACTGGATTGGCTAGCTCCTCCAAGCTATACTCTAGCTCAGCCAGGAGTTATAAGATGGAGGCAGGAGGCAGACTCCATGTCAGAATGGTCCCTTATGGGGTTAACAAAAACCATCTATAGAAAGGGATCATTTCACCTACCACCAAAATGCAGCCACCTCTGGGGTAGAAGAGGGCAGCTGTTTAATACCACACCTCCAATCTGATTTTAAAAGCTGACCAGGTCTGTTCTCATCCAGTCCTGGCTGGAAGGGAAGGTGCTGTAGGCTGTTGGCCTATTGCCCCAGCTCAGGAAAGGCTCCCACCAGAACCAGAGCCCTCTGCTCTTTCAGCCTTTATAGGCATCAGGTGCACATCAGGTAGTCACCTGCCCCCTTCCCAGCTGGGGGTGATCATGCCGACCCCCAGGCCCAACGCCTGTTACCAAGAATCAAGGGAAAAGGGGAAGGGGAAACAGGGAGGGGGGAAGACCAAGGGGTAGGGGGGTGCAATGGGATGTGGCATTCATTGCAAGGGTCGCCCCAGTGGTTAGGGAAGCAGCTATGACACAGGATGCCAGGCTTCCTGTTTCAGAGTAGCAGCCGTGTTAGTCTGTATTCGCAGAAAGAAAAGGAGTACTTGTGGCACCTTAGAGACTAACCAATTTATCTGAGCATAAGCTTTCGTAAGCTACAGCTCACATTTAGGCTCAGATCTTCAGAGGTATTTAGGTGCCTAACTCTCACTGAAATCACAGGTGTCTAAATACCTTTGACAACATGGGCCTACATTGCTCTGTGCCTCAGTTTCCCCATCTGTAAAATGAGGTAAGTAGCACTGCCCTGCTTCACAGCGGTTTGGTGAGGACAAATCCATTAATGATTTTGAGGTGCCCAGATATTAAGGCGATGGGGGGCCAGGAAAGTACTTATGATTTACAGTTTTAACCCTGGTGCCCTGACTAAATTCCAGCTTGGCTACAGTCTTGTTTCACATTCTCTTGTATAATGTTGCTGGGTGCTGTTAAACAGCTGCCCTACCCCACCCCAGAGGTGGGCAAAATGATCTCCGGCTTTAACGTGTTAAATCTTTGGGATGAAAGGTGCCATGTTACTGAATTTAAACCTAGTCCCACAAGCCATGATTTCCCTTCTCCCGTCGCCAGAGTGGATGTGGAGAAGAAACAGCTGTGCCTGTGTATTAAAGAAGATTAAATACCAACATCAGAGAGTTTACTTCCTATAAACCTTCCCGCAGCCCACATTACAAGCTGCCTCTTTGCATTGCTTTGTACACAGCTCTGCATAAGAAGTGCTCAGCATCCGTGGGGCTTTTGTTATGCTGATCCTATTTGTCTGATATCAGAGTAGCAGCCGTGTTAGTCTGTATTCGCAAAAAGAAAAGGAGGACTTGTGGCACCTTAGAGACTAACCAATTTATTTGAGCATGAGCTTTCGTGAGCTAAATTGGTTAGTCTCTAAGGTGCCACAAGTCCTCCTTTTCTTTTTGCTATTTGTCTGAGGCGTCCTTTGATTTTCTTTTTTTTTAAATCTGTGCTTTAAAACTCTTGTGGCTTTCCTGTGATTTAGCTCCTCTTGCATGTCACCTGTGTCAGGCTAGCAGGTTTACAGTAATTGTACAGTGCCTGGTGGTTAGGGTGCTAACCTGTAATGTCTGGTCCTGGCTCAGGAAAGTCACTAAGCACGTGCTAAAGGGTCAGATTTTCTCCAGAGCTCAGGGCCAGATGTCCCAGCACTCAGCACTTACAACTGGGGCTGGACTCTCCAGAGGGCACAGCGCGCCCTGGAGAGCCAAGGTACGTAACTGACCATCTAGCCTGATTTGTGAGTGCTGAGACCTTTTGAAAATCCTGGTCTCTGGATAAAATCTAAGTCCCCCACTCAGCTCCCATTGACTTGAACGGGGACCTGGGTTTCACCCACGGCACTTCCCTGACCGGGGGCCTGGGTTTCACCCACGGCACTTCCCTGACCGGGGGCCTGGGTTTCACCCACGGCACTTCCCTGACCGGGGGCCTTTGTCAGCGGTCAACAGGCAGCACAAAGCGAGTTGGCTTTGGCTGGGGGCCATTTGCCATGAACCCCCACCCAGGAAGGTAGACGAGGCCCCTAAATCCTACTTCAAGTTAATTTGCCTCATCAGTATTTCCAGACTCTTGGGACAGTTCCACAACTTGAAAGCTCTGACAGCCGACCTGCACCTGCCTGTATCAGGTACTTCTGTGGCCCCAGGTGTGTTTCCTTTGATGTTTCCACAACAAACAAACAAAAAAAACCAGGTATTAACCACCTAGGCCCAGCTGGGGCTCAACTAACCCTGTCTACCCAACACACATGAACGCACCAGGCCTAGCTACATGCATGCTACTTCTCTGGCTGGCTTCTACAACGCAGAGCTCAGTAAACACCATGCTTTACTTGGTGGCTTTACTCGAAGGCTTGCAAACTATGTAATAGGATAAAAAGAAAAGGAGGACTTGTGGCACCTTAGGGACTAACCAATTTATTTGAGCATGAGCTTTCGTGAGCTACAGCTCACTTCATCAGATGTATACCGTGGAAACTGCTCTATTCCTGGATGCAGCAGCCCCTGCGACGGTAGCACCTGAGTGCCTCACATTTTTAATTTATTTATTCTCACAACATCCCTCTGAGGTAGGGGAGGGTTGGTACCCCCGTTTTACATATGGGGAAACTGAGGCACGGATAGACTAAGCCTCACACAGGAAGGTTGTGGCCGAGCAGGGAATTGGCTCTCCGAGGTCAAACACAATTTGACTGGGGAAAATTGGGTGAAATCCTCGGTCTTGTGGCCAGACTAGATGATCAAAATGCACCTTTTTGGCCTTAAAATATATGAATGAAAGTTTCAGGCTAGGGTGCTAACCACTGGACCATCCTTCCTCATCTCTGGAATACTTGGCTTTATTAATGCTTCCAACTGTATTTAATTTTAGGGATGTTCATCAAGATCTCTGCAAAACTCTGCACATACTAGCAACTGGTACAGCCACATACATCAGCGGCTTGGCGCAGAACCACCCAAAATTCTTCCCATTGTCCTCATCTGTTGTCAGGCCAGTTTACCAGAGGCCAGTAGCTCGGCGGATGTGTGGGGCTTGCCATGATCCTGACTTGTTCTTTAGAAAAGGCAACCGTTCCATAGCCACATATTTGGTCTCAGCTGTTCTGTTTCCGTTTGCTGCTTCTGCACCATTGTTCAGGGTAGTTTAAGGAAATGATGGGTTGGAAAGCCACCATGGCTGGGTGACTTTGCTACAATGAACTAATTTCCTGAGTTTGTCAGCGTGGTGCGATTTTTATCCTGTTTACCCAGAAGTTGTTTGGAACAGGTTAATCTTGGTAAATCCCTGGTCTCAAACTGGGAAAAGCTGGCTGCTCGTGGGGGAAGAGTGGATCATAACAGAAAGGTCTACGAGTTGAAGGGGAGAAGCATAAATGCTATGGTGCCGCAGGAAACTTTAAGATAGATAGATAGATCAGATGGCAGGATAGATAAATAGATGGGAAAGACCACTGAATAATGATGAGAGATAGAGATAGATGTAGGATGTTGTCAAGGTTCCTTCCCCACTCTGAACTCTAGGGTACAGATGTGGGGACCTGCATGAAAAACCCCCTAAGCTTATTTTTACCAGCTTAGGTTAAAACTTCCCCAAGGCACAACCTATTTTACCTTTTGCCCTTGGACATTATTGCTGCCACCACCAAGCATCTAACAAATATATAACAGGGAAAGAGCCCGCTTGGAGATGTCTTTCCCCCCAAAATCCTCCCCAAACCTTACACCCCCTTTCCTGGGGAAGGCTTGATAAAAATCCTCACCAATTTGCATAGGTGAACACAGACCCAAACCTTTGGATCTTAAGAACAATGAAAAAGCAATCAGTTTCTTAAAAGAAGAATTTTAATAGAAGTAAAAAGAATCACCTCTGTAAAATCAGGATGGTAAATACCTTATGGGGTAATTAGATTCAAAACATAGAGAATCCCTCTAGGCAAAACCTTAAGTTACAAAAAGACACAAAAACAGGAATCTACATTCCATTCAGCACAGCTTATTTTAACAAAACAGCCATTTAAACAAAACAGAATCTAACACATCTCTAGCTAGATTACTTACTAAATTCTAAGACTCTATTCCTGTTCTGTTCCCTGCAAAACATCACACAGACAGAAAGAATCTTTGTTTCTCCCCCCCCCCCTGCCCCCAGCTTTGAAAGTATCTTGTCTCCTCATTGGTCATTTTGGTCAGGTACTAGCGAGGTTATCCTAGCTTCTTAACCCTTTACAGATGAAAGGGTTTTTCCTCTGGCCAGGAGGGATTTTAAAGGTATTTACCCTTCCTTTTATATTTATGACAGATGTAGTTAAGAATTATCACTGATTTGAACCAAGTGATCATGGTGTATTTTGTACGTGGATCAGTCCAATTTCAGTCTAATGAAATCACAGCAGGGACGTGCAGTTGTTGAGAGATATTTTGGATCTGCATTTGTTCAGTGCTAACCCATTTTTGGTGGCGGCTCATCGTTACACCAGACCTATGTCCTACACAATTGTGCAGACAGAGGAGAACAAAGAGAGCAATCGGGAAGAGCTACATCATCAGAAATGTCCTTTCATCTTCCTTATCTGCACGGCAGAATCATGAACCTGGGGGTTGAGACAAGCATCCTTTCTTTAAAAAAATGGTGACATTATGTTTTGCAGCAGCGTATTTTGTAAAAACAGCAAGTTTTAGGAACAAGATCTCTCTGCTGCTCTGTCTCTGCTATTAAATGGTTTCTCTAGAACTGCGGCTTTGGTGAGAATGATTAGATCTGTGGATTAGCAAAGTGAGAATTAACGGAGGTTCTTCTGTCTTGCTCTACATAAGAGCCCAAGCTCTCAGCTGGTATAAAATGGCAAAGCTGCACTGGGTTCAGTGGGTCTACAGCAGTTTACACCAGCTGGGCACCTGGCCCGTAACGTTCATGAGCTGTTGATAAAAATCAGATGATAAATTTGCAGAGACTAACCTCCTTTCTTCAGACACCTGAAAATCAACAACCTAAGGAAGAAATCCCGATTGTCAGCATCCTTTATTTCTTCGGTGACACAGTTATAAATTCTTTAAAAAAAACAACACCACACAATCAACTGGATTAGATAACACTCTGGAAAATATCTAGCAACAAATCTGCAGTGGGTGAAAATAAATTGGTCTAGAGAACTGTTACACCTCTATTAATATATCTTTGATATTCCACTCGCATTAATTTAACATGCAATAACTATCCAATCTGAAAAAATGCATAGAAAGCTGCCATAAATGCATTGAAAACAATTTACTATGGGGAAAAATATACCAGCTGGTTCTCCCTTCAGTCTCCTGCTCTTTGCTATACTTTCTGACATTATAGTATTCCTTTGTCCTTGTGCCAGACTCTGCCCTGTGTGCGTAGAATTTAAACCAGTTCTGGTTCACCTACCTGGAGAGAGGCTGATCAGCGTCACTAGCAATAAAGGGAGAGAGGGTTTTTTGCTGGACACCTCCATGTCTTCACCACTCTCTGGGTGTCTCTGCGCTGATCCTGATAGCAGAAGCAGATGCTGGGAGATGGGGAGGAGCAACACTGCATCATGGCACACCCTCTAGGGGTCTGTGTATCCAGGAGCTTAGCACCATTATTAATTAACTGATTATCCATTGGTACACGAGAGAGTATGCAGGGCACAGGTCAGTGTGTACAAAAAATCATAACTGCTTCTCTGACGGCTGGATTTGCAACATGGCCCTTCTGCCAGGCTGTTGAGTGCTTGCTTATACCCAAGTATTGATGTCCTGGCTCGTTACGGAATCTTACATCAGGACAATTAAATCGTCACCTCCCCAGATTCAAATCCCCCTTGGGCTAGGGGCATTCCTAGGACATTGTCTCCAAATCTAAGGTCTGGCCTGTGCACTGGTTTAACTATGTCTGTGTGTCGATCAGCCCTAAACAAGGATCCACAGGGAAACACCAAGAATGAAGGAACCCAGGGCTCGATCCTGGGCAGTGCTGAGAACCTTCAACTCACATTGACGTCAATGGGAGCGAAAGACTCTGACCCTGAAAGGGGTCTCGCCCCCGATCTCCCAGGGGACCTGGGAGGAGCTGGACGAAAGGACTTTGTAGGAAGAACTGAGAATCCTGCAGGATCCTGGGATGACTGAAGACAAAGGCCAAAGATCCAGGGCCGTTGTCGCTGTGAAGTCATTTACCGCAGCGCAATGGTCTCACCACCCTTCTGAGCTGGTGGCGCTTTACACCCACTTTACAGAGGTCTAAAGAAGGGCACAAGACACAGGGTGGCAGAGAACTGGGCCCACCGAGGCCCCGCAGCCTCCAAGCCTGAGGGGAGCCAAGAGATCTCCACACTGATTGAGTGCGACTGACTAAATCAATTCCACTGGGGGCTGAAAAAGCCCTCTGGGCAGCTGCGGGAGAGAACAGGGTGGTCCTGTGAAGAGAATCATGTTCCAGAGAAGGGAAATATCCCCCTGTTGGGCTCGTCTATGTACCTGGCTTGCTGTTCTGAGGCACAGAATGGGGACATCCGAAATCCTCTGGAGGGAGGTGGCTGGGATGCCTGTTACCAAGTATTATCATCAGCAACAAAAAGGGATCTTGAGCCACAGACAATTGAAGTAGGGCCTGGCCCAGGGCAGCCGATGGAATTGCTCCCCACGACAGGTGCAAGAGTCACTGGGGTTTGCATCAGCCCCTTCTACTGAAGCCATCTGGCTGCTCTGCCATCTGGCTGGCAATCTGGGCTGGCTTATTCGACTCCCAGGGAAGTCAATAGAGGGTCTTTCCCTGAGAGTCGGCTCCCTTCAATCAATGGGAGTCTTTCCATGGGCTGAGGCACTTAACTTAGCCTGTTTTCAGCACTTAGCGATCCCAGGGTATGCATGCACCTGTGGCCAGGCCCCAAACCCCCGTTCCCTGATGTGCTTGGGAGCTGCCATCTCTGAGAGCCGGGTGTCTCATGTGAACGATCAGCGTCTCCATTGACCTCCGTGCACCCAGGCCGATTTACACGAGCTGTGGATCCGGCCCAACGCCTCTCCCAAGCTATGGTCAGTGGGATGTGCTCTAGATGCCTGTAGCGGACTGGAACTGAAACGCTAGATTTCCAACCGCCTCGTCTGTGGGGAAGTAGAGGGCAGACAAGCTACTTTGAGAACAGAGAAGTATTTGCAACCAGCACTTTTATTATAGACTTGTTCAGGGAGCCAAATTCTGCCTACAGACATGTAGTCCAGCCAGCAACCCTGTGCAGTCCAGGCCAAGACTCAGCGGGGCCACAATCGGCAGGACACACTGTGAGCTGGGGGGCCAGAGGGAACCACAGGGTCTGACTGGATCAGAATCTCCTTTATATTCATCACAGACTAGCCCTGTGTCTTCTCTACACGGAGGATGCCATTCCCATTAACTCTTAGGAGCGTTGCAAATTTGTATCTGCAAGGAGCACTCTGCGCAAACTCTCCTGCTTAGACAAAGCATCAGGCCCAGCTTTTACCAAAGGAGGTTGCTGGCTGCTGAAGCCATGGAGGGAGGCAAGCACCAAAAACAGGATGGCCACATGCGGGCATCACCCAGATGATATTCAGACCTATGGAACAATACTGGATGAACGGGCCCACTGGTCTGATGTGATCCAGCAACACTGCCAGTAAATAGGACAATAATGAAAAGGAGGGGGGTCACAGCACGACCAAACACTGGACTAGATAGAACCATCAGTATTAACAAGAGGTTGGGGGGGAAGGGTGTCCAATGGATAAGGCAGTAGGCAATGAGACCCAGATCCTTAAAATCAACAGCAGTTAGGTGCCTACGTACCTTGGAGGGTCTGACCCTGAGTCAGGGCTCCTGGGTTCGAATCCTGATTCTGCCAATGATTTGTGAGCCAGTTGCTTTGCCTCATTTTCCCTCTCTATGAAAGGGGGACACTAAACAGGGCTGGTTGAAAGTTTTCCTTCTACTCCTCTTTTTTTGCTGGAATTTGGGTTTTCGACTCCATGTAAATTTTGGCAGAAAGCATCTGCCATCCTAGAAACGTTTTTCATCAGAGCCCTGAGAAACTCAAAGAACAAATATTTTCCCAGTCCAGGACCACACGTATTTCAGGCTCCAACAAAAAATGTCTCCGTTTTCTGCTGAAAAGGATTCCCGCCCCCTTTCTGCTGACATTTTCCAGGAGGGGAGAAGCTAGCTAATAATAATCCTGGCCCTCGGTAGCAAAGAGCTGGCTGAAAGAAAGGAAGTGTTTCTAACAAGAAGGAAAGATTATTTTTTGATTTAAAAAAATCGCTCCAGGCAAAAATACAAAGGAAGAGCGTTGACATAATAGGCTGTTTTGTTTCAGAAGGACAAAGTGGGGGGAGGGGAAATGTCAGGTGTTTCCTGTTCTGCTCTCAGTGGTTCTGGAAATTCAAGGAAAATGATTCACCTGTTCCCAAAAGACTAATTAAGCCCTTCCCCAGCTGGAGCACCTTCCTCCGGAGAATCTCAAAGCACCTTACAAATCCTAGGGTGAAATTCACCCAGGAGCAGAGGGCTGGCATAAAATCTAGGCACCAAATAAGCTTGTGCAGCTGCCCAAATATTCACAGCAAAGAATCCAGGACAACCCAGTGGCTTCGCATGAGGCCGCCATGAACCTTGAGCAAATTCACAGAAACTCTGATTTGTCTGGGGCTGGTTCCTGGATGGAACATCTGGGGACTAACTTGTGCAGAGTTTGCCCTTACCCACTGGCGAGAAGGAGGAACTGAAAGCTTCTGATATGAAGCTAGAAGCCAATGGGTGGAAACCACCATCTTCCAAAACAGCTGGGGAATGCAGTTTATAGAGAGGCTGGATGGCATCTAGTAAATGTCCCCTGATTCTTCAGAAAGGCAATGCACTGTTCTAGAAGGAAGTGAAACCAATCAAGGGAGGGCTGGCATCCTTCTGGCAGCTGATGCGGGTACAATTCTCTTTGGGGTCGTTAGATCTCGGCGTGTGCATGTTTTGACCAAACCGCCCATCCTGACCTGGACCACGGGGCTTCTATTCCCATGTCAGCGCAGTCACTCCCTAACACCTGCCCCTACAGTGATGCCAACAAGTAAGCTGGACCCAGGAGGAGGGCAGCTGGGGTAGTTCATAGTGATACATAATTTACAGACAAACAAACACAGCACCAATAAGATGGGTGTCCATCATTGCCTAGCTATCCAGAACCCTAGACAGTACAGCCCAAAGGGACGACTGTGGCCATCTAATCTGACCTCCGGCGTAGCAAAGCCAGAGGGTTTCACCCAGTAGTTCCTGCACTGAGACCAACTTGTGAGTGAGCTAGAGTGGGTCTTGGACAAATGCAGCCAGTCTTAATTTAATGACTTCAAACACAGCACCACATCCCTAAGTAAATTGTTCCAAGGGACAGTTACCCTTGTAAAGACGTGTATCTAGTAGGAATCGGTGGTTAAGTCTCGGGTGTTTAGGTTCTTAACTTCCATTGATTTCAATGGGAGGTAGACACCGAAATACCTTTTACAATCTGGGCATGAGTGCCTCAGATGTTAACAGTTGGGAGGCTCTGCTGCCTGGTCTGGAACCAGCAACCTACCCGTGAAAAGCTCTGCGGCCTGTTGCCAGCCCCCCGAGCTCTCCAGCTTCTCCACCGGCTGCAATATCCATCAGTGAGTCTCATGCAGAAGGCAGCTTGTCCTACAGGACCTGAGCCCTCCCTGCATGAAATCCCACCCCTGAGCGAGCCTGTGGGAGTTTCACCGTTGATATCCCTGGGGCCCGGATTTCACCCACAGTTGCAGCACACAATGGGTTAAAACAAAACCGAATGGGTAAGGCGTGAATAGGGCCTAGAGGGCCCCAAACAGAGAAGAGGTGGGGCAGGGGGATGAGATCCAGTGCGAACCCTGCCCTTGCACGGGAATGTGCTCTTCCCACCTTGCTCCAGGCTCAGCGGTTTTGCCTCTGCCAGCCTCTCGAGGCCGAGGGGCAGCCACTGTGCCCCTCACTCTGCATTTGCAAGTGGAGGAGCAGATCTCGATCCCATCAGGTTCCAGGGGAGCAGGGTTCGGCTCAGAGGAAATGAAAAACATGTTCCAAACAACAAGCATGTTTCCATCCGGGGGCTGCCAGTGTGACGGGCACAAGACAGCACGGGGCTGGGGAAATTCGGCAGCTGCCGTGTCCCGTCAATCCATGTGAGAGCCGCTCATGACCCAGTCTCCACCCTTGATGGGCTGGAAGGAGGCACATGAGTTCCCATGTGACAGACGTTAGTCACTGGCTTCCGCAGAGGGCTACCGAGGAGAACACAACAGAGAGACTGTATTGGAGACAACACTGTTCTATGCAAGTCAACGGATCTCCGGCATATAGGACGAGAGTGGAACTACCGGCTGTGCGATAAGGGCTTGTCTACATGGGGAGTTGACACCAGAACTGTGTCTGCGCTGTTATAACACCCCATGTGGAGACTCTATGCTGGAAGAGAAATGACTTTATTCTGGTGTAAACGACTTCCTTGGTTACACATAAACATCGACAATGAGGCCCCTTTACATGGCCCTGGAAACCTAGAGCAGCCTTAAAGTGAACGTAACTGTAATTTCTACCCCTTTTCATTCTACCCACTTGGTGCGGCCAGAATGATGCAAAAGGCCCTCAGGGTACGTCTACACTGCAGTGGTGAGGCCATCCTGCTGCAGCGCTGTAATGCCGACCATGGTACTGGCTGTTTCCAAGTCCTGGCAGGTACTTCAGCGGTGGAGGTCATTCAAGTACCTAGCTCGACAGACCGTCAGCTGCCCCTTTCCGTGGTCTGAATGCAGAGTCCGCCTTGCCTTCCCTGCACCATGCCTGGAACAGCTCCGCAGAGACCACAGGTTGAAACCTGCTGCATTAGAGAGAGAACCTTAGAGTCATTATGGAAATCCAACCACTTCAGCCAATCAGTGAGCAGGGCTTTGAATATGTATCACTAGACGCGTGGGTCAGTAACTGCATTGCTAATCCCAACTCAGCACGATACTTGAGTATTAAAGTACTCTCAACTATCCGGTACTTTTATTTCTCTTTACCGTGGAGAAACATCTCCTTTAGACAAAGCTTGCTCAGAATATTCTCCGATGAGCAGGAGATTCTGGGGACCAAGCTACACCTGGGGGTGAAATCCGGACTCCACAGAAGTCATTGGCAAAACTTCACTAGGGCCAGGATTTCACCCGATAGCCTGCTCCCCCCGCCTCCCCGTCAGTCCCAGTCGGCCCGTACACCTTCTCATTAGGTGTCTGCGGTACGAGGTTCGAGCCCAACCACCAGAGTTAGGGCGTTTTTCTGTGCAGCAGGTTCACAAGGACAATGGCATTGATCCCAGGAACAGAGCCACAGGAATGGCTCTCCAATGGCAAAGACTGGGAGCCGCTCCTGCAATGGGGAAAAGACAGAGTCAGGGGGATTGGACTGACAAGCCTGAATCCACATTTGCACTAAGACCCCTTTACTTGGCACTGGCAGAGTAAAGGGGCCTGGAAGTGGGAGTAAATTCCAGAGTTGCTCACTGCTTTAGCGGCGTACATGAACGAAAATCAGGGCTGCGGCCAGTGTATTTATTCCTCTGTCCGGGGACCTGGTTCTCCGCTCAGTTACACTGCTGTAAATCAGGAGTGGCAGCACTGAGACCAGAGAAGCTAGGCTAGCATAAAGCCGGTGTAAATGAGCAGACAGACACGCCCGGCTGATAACTCACCTCCGCTTTGGCAGATGCTCTGCAGGTCAGGAGAGACGCTCTTCTGGTCCCCAGGGTTGCTGGCCGTGCAGGTGAAGGTAGAGTTCGGGGGGTTGGGCTGCAGAGACAGGCGGAGGGTCCTGCCATCAGGGGCCAGCTGGTACCGCTCAGAATCGCCCAGGCCTCGGGGTGGGTTCCCTCTCATCCAGGAGACGTTAACTTCTTCCCTGCCAGACGCCTGACACTGCAGAGTGACATTGCACCCATCGGCCATGCTGGAGAGTGAGTGAATCCATATCTTTGGCATTGGAACGGGCTCTGCATTCAGAAGAAATAAAATGAGAATGAAAGACTCTGGGGGCACAGAAGGCATCTACACTGGGGAAAAAACCACCACCTGGCAGCTCAGAGCCCAGGTCAGCTGACCCGGGGGCCTGCTAGAGTGCTCAAAGGAGCAGTGGAGACATTCCTGCATGGGCTGGAGTTCGAGCTCTGAGACCCACTCCCATCGCCAGACGTTAGAGCCTGGGCTCCAGGCCCGAGCAGCAACTTCTACACTGCTATTTTTAGCCACTAGCTCAAGCCTCAAGAGCCCGAGCGAGATGACCTGGGCTCTGAGTCAGGTGACCTGAGCGCTGAGACTGGCTGCCCGGGGCTTTTCTTTTTTTTTTGCAGTGTAGATGTATCATAAGGGCTCTTTCCATGTCTCTGGCAGCACAAAAGGGCCTTACAATGGGCCCACTTTACACCCCTTGAAGGCCCCTTTGCACTGCCAGGGTGGGGTAAAGGGGCATTGATGTAAATGAGCAGAGCCTCAGGGAGGCTGCCACTAATGATGGGACAATGCAAGACAGTCTACGGCTATGAATGGTTTGCAGGGGGCTGGGCAGAGCTGGGTGAATAGGGGATGTGACTCTTGGGGCACAGCTAAGAGATACAGGGACACCTCACGAGAATCAGATCTGAATCCCCTGGAGAGCTCCATCCTCCACCAAACGCACTGCAGGGGCTCCCTCTGACAGCTGCCTGGAGGTGTGCTTTGCTGCAACTCGTTCACAAGCAGTGAGCACCACTGTGCTAGCTTGGATGGTATCCGCAACAGAGGGGATAATTGTGCACAGGAGAGCCAGGGAACCGCTATGCAGGTAGCAGGGCCATCACGGCATGAACCCAGCATACAACGTGCAGCTGTGCACGTAACCGGGCCATCACAGCACGAACCTAGCAGCCCCACACAAGGGCTGGAGGGAGGTTTTCAGTTATGCAGAACTGAGGGCTGGGTGACAGCCTTCCTCCCGCACATCCTCCTCCCTGCCTCGTGCAGGCTGGGAAAACCCAACCCCAATGCACGTATTTCCTCCGCAGGACACAAGCCAGGAGTTATTATCCACGGGGCCCTGTTAATAAAAGCGAAGGAACACGCTTTTATTAATAGCCCTGAAAGATGATTTCACTTGTTCAAACTTCAGTTCAACACGGTTTTAAACAGTCACTTACCACAGACCGCGAGGAGAAAGGCCTGATCTTCCACAGTTGCTGGTACGATCTTAACCCGGGCCTCATAAACTCCGCTATCGCCCAGCTCCAGAGCCTTGATCCTCAGTGAGGTCTCGTTGTACATTTCTAGCCTCTGCTGAAATCTGTCGCTGGGATCGTGTCGCTCAAACTTCCCTCCATTGAACTCAGCCAGCTGGATCGTCACACCTGTCCCAGCACTGAAACTCCATTCGATTTCTTTTGCCTTTTTCCCGGGGGATAGATCCACAGACAGCACGACCGATCCTCCCAGAATCCCATTCACCTGGCGGCGGGGAGTCAGTGCTTGGGTTAATCCAGGATCTGAGAAACAGAGCCCAGGAGATCAAAGTTGCAGGGGGCAAGGGTGGGGGTGGCCACTGATTTCCCCACTTGCTGCAGCACAAGCCAGAGAGAACAAACTGACGGGAGTCCATCCCTATCCCCAGCTGCCGGGTCTGGTTTTGGCCTCAGAGCTGAAACTAGAGACTTACCCTCGGTGTTTCTAGGGCAGCCATCACCGTAGCATTTGGGCACCTCACAATTATTCATGTTTTTATCTTCCCAACCCCCACTGTGAGGCAGGGCAGTGCCATTATGCCCATTGTACAGCTGGGGAAACTGAGGCACTGAGCGCCTAAGTGACTCACCCAAGTGTGTGGCAGAGCAGGGAATTGCACCCAGAACTTCCATCTCCTAGGCTAGTGCTCTAACCACTAGGCAATCCTCCCTCTCTGCTACTCTTTTCCACCCCCACCAAGAATCCCAATACCCTACTGTAGAGGGGTAGTCACCCACTCCAGCCCTGACAGGGTTAAAGCCAGCCCTGGGAGAGGGGTGGGGCGGGGAGAAAAGCCCAGGCTGATTGGGGAAGCAGCCACAGCTGGGCCACGCCCTAATCAGGGTGCAGCTGGGCCCTATAAAAGGCTGTGAGCCAGGCACTCAGCTAGTCCCTCTCTAACTGCAGAGAGGGAAGGACCTAGCTGCCTGAAAGCTAAACAGGAACTTGAGGTGGGGGTAGTGCTGGGGAGCTCCTGCCTGGAAACTCTGCGGGGCTGCAAAGGGGCAGCCTGGGGCTGGGTAGAGACAGTAGGTCCTACCCCCCACCCCGCCTTGCCTATGATGACTGGCTTATACAGACTGCAGTTGGCCCCAGTGAAAGGTAGTAGCCCATAGGCTGAGGCAAGGTGGGATTTGGGGGTTCCCTGGGGAGAGGAGACCCAAAGACTGAGGGGATACTGCTGTGGCAGAAACCCCCAGATAAAGGGGCATTGGGGTCCAGGAGGGACACGGGCCAGCAAGAGGCGGGACACTGGCTGGCAAGGGGCGCTGCAGAGGCTGGTGAGCTAATTCCCTGGATGACCAGTGGGAGGCGCTGCAGGAGTGAGTCTCGCCTTGTTACACTTACATATCCATTTCTGTTCTCATCAAGCTCTGGGGACCAGAACGGCCTCCTGGTGACACCCCCCTTCTCCCCCCCCCCAGTCTCAGGGGAGAGAAACATCTCACCAAACTCCGGCACAGAGCTTGGGGATGGGGGGCTAGGCCCAGCAATTGTTCCTGGCAGGGAACCAGCTATCAGAGCAAGGAAGGAGCCCAACACACGCTGGGCCAGATTCTGCTTTGTTACACTGGTGTAAAGCCAGAGTCGCTGAGCTCAATGGAGCGGTTCTGGATTTGCACCAGCATTAGTCTGGGCACAGGGGCTGTGGTTTCCAAGGTTCCCCTTGGCACGAGGTTGCCACATGTCTCACAGCTGTAACGCCCCATCACTCACCTGGGGCTTGGAGGGCTGAGCCAGGAGAGCAAGCAGGGGGAGCTGAGCACGGCCCCAGCCCATGCTCTCGCAGCAGGAGGGATTTGCCTCCTGGGAGCTTTGCTTCCCCCGGCGCAGCCAAACAAGGCACTGAGACGACAGTCAACTCTACATAGCTGCAGCTCCCTTGGATCACAAGCTCTCAGTGTTACTTCCTCCACACGTCGTTCTCTCTTTGCAACTGTCCACCTTGCCTCCCTCCCACCGCAGCGCTTTACGAACAGCAGCAGCTTTAGCCCCATCTGCAAAATGGCCAACCTGTGGGGAAACTGAGGCACAGAGAGCCTGGTGGGGTCTGGCTCCTGACCAGGTACTGTAGCGGAAAGAGGAGCGTAATGAGCCTCCCATCCTTTCAACCACTCACCCCTGGTCTCGGTCGCTGCCCTTCCCCTGGCCCGAGCACAAGAACAGCTACCCTGGGGAGGAGGAAGGGGAGGGCTCCCTGGCCCATGCTGCTTCCTCCAGTGGGGGCTAGCCATGTTGTTATGCCGCCCCTGCACCGGGGAGCACCTGGAATTCAAGGTCCTGCACAGAATTCCCACTGGGTCAGTGCAACTGCAGCCCCCACCCTGACCCGGGCCAGTAGCTCTCCAGCCTTTCTGGAAGTGACGCTTTAGCCAGACACAAGCCATGGGCTCCGTGCAGGGTGACGGGGTGGAATTCTCTGGACTGTGCTAGGCAGCAGCTCCGCCTCGGGTCCCTCCTGGCCGTCAGATCTGAAGCATACAGGCCTGATTTGTGACTGGCCCTAGCGGTGCCCAGCGCAAAACCGTTCCCCAGCATGTGCCTTAACCACAAACCCAGGCAGCTGCCCACTGCAGGGACAAGGGCCCCTGCTCGGAAATCCATGTGTTCGGCAGGCCCTAGCGCCCTTTCTGCCTGGATGGTCTCCTGGACAGAGCACTCCCTTCACGGGGAAGCCCTCGTTTTCCCCAACCCCACGGGGCAGCGTGAGACAAGGGGGCACCCTCCATGGGAGGGTCTGCCCGTATGGAGCAGCTTTGCCCAGGATTCCTGTGGGGATGGTGGAACTCCACGGACTCGCCAGCCCTGACTTGGCGGGGCTTGGGGGAGCTGAAGCGGTCACAGCACCTACGAGCTGCAATCGAGCTGGTCAGAGAGGAGGTGAAAATGAAAACGGTCCCACATGGACACATCTGTCTCCAGAGTCTTAGGGAGATCGGGGGCTCCGGAACGCCACCTCCATCTGGGTTCAAGTGAGAGAGATTTGAAAGCCATGGATGGAGCTGAGGGCTGGTAAAACGCGGTGCGTAAGTGATGAGTGTTTTAGAAAGGTGATGATAGGCCGCTGTGTATGGGGATGGATAGGCGGGTGTGTATGGGGGTAGCCGGATAGAGAGGCAGCTATTCCTTGTTATCAAAGCCAACTCCCATTTGGCTGTACATTGCAATCATGCTTGTGCGACAGCTCTGGGTATTTTGTGCACGAACAGGCTGGCCCGGACCAAGGTCAAAACCACATCTCCCTGACAACAGCAACATGTCTCTTGTTGCCAAGAGCTGTGGTCTTGCTGAGACACTCGACTACTGGCCTGCAGGGTCCATCAGCCTGATTCCCAGCCCAGGGAAACCGAGGCCCCTTCATACCCCTCCGGCAGCATGAAGGGGCCTTGAAGACAGCGTCAGTTACAGTCACACCCATGCTGCAGCTGTTTCAAGGGGCCTGAGCATCAACAGGGCTCAAGCCCAGAATCCCCACTTCATTCAGAAGCCTACATGTGAAGCCCATCTGTTCCCTTGTGTTCAGCTTCCTGGATCTCCCTCACCACCACCCTCCTTGTCTCTCCCCTCCCTGGACCATGTCACCCATGCTCTGCTGACTCTACAGGTGGCATGAGGCTGCTCCACCCTCCCCACTGATTGAGCTCCATGGATACCCTGATTCAACACAGCTCTTCGAGCCCCACAGCAGACTGCAAAGGGTTGTGCTCGCCCCTCTGCGCTGGGTAAGTTTCAGTAGCTCAGAATGGATGGTCTATTTAGCAACAACTTGAGAGCCTCCCCCTCCATCTCGCCAGCATAGCACCTCCCAGGAGGCGGTGTCCAGCTGGTCTCTCTCTGCTCTCCCTCCCCTGCTCCCTTCCTCACTTTTGTTGAATTCTTCTTTCGCTTTGTCCCATCCCAGGGCTGTGCCTCTCCCACACATCACACTGTGCTGGGCTTTCTCACCCACCCTGCTCCTTCCCATCTCTCTGCACTCACAGATCCAGCCCCAGGTCCAAGATCCCTGAAGGCCAGCTAGGGACCTGTTTGAGTCTAAGCAGCCACACGATCCCCGATCATCACAGGCATCCCTCACGCCAGCAGGTGGAGGGGCGCTGACATGTCATGTGAAATAGCCACCCACATGGCGCAAACTGATCAGTGCAAGACAGGAGAGGAACACAAAGCAGCTCTAAATTCACTGAACGAAACTGAAAGGAGAAACATTTCCTTTTACAGAGAACACGTCCATCCATCCAGGGTCTCTATCTATTCTCCCACCCCCATCCGCTTCTCTCTCACACACCTGTCCACCGTAGTGTTTAAACTCTGCTATTTTGCAACCTCCTCTTGCCCTTTTTAAAGCCCCCATCACCATAGTATGCAGGCACACTGAAACCCGCAAGCCTTCCTGGCCTAGGTTAAATGCAGCGGAGTCCTCCACCATCAGAGGGTTAGCTCTGCCACCTAGCGGCACCACGGTAGAAGAATGTTTTGGTCATGAGAAGTTTTGGCAGGACGGAGAATCCTGTCAATGATCAGAGAGGATATCAACGTCTTGTCTCACTTATGCAGGAACCTCTGCACTAATGGTACTTGGCCAGGACCTGTGAGCATCTATTCCACAACACTTGCTAGCTTAGATCTATCACTAAGCCACCCAAAAACTGTCAAATGGGGAACCCCTTTTGACCTTTACTTGCCTAACCTGGATTTCAACCAGTAACCAATACAATTAAAGCTTAAAATCCCTTTACCAATATGGACCAGCTAACCCCCCTGCATTACCTGTATTCTAAAACAATCACACTAAAGTTAGTTAATTTTTTTAAAATATAAAGTATCTACAATTAAAAAACCCTTCAATTTTAGAAGCATCTTTTCCAATCTCCCATCCACCAGCAGACACTGTCGCTAAGTGGTAGGTAGTTGAGGAACTAGCTGGGACATTTAAACCACTGAGGTTTGGTGTGAATTGTCTTTATTATTCAAGGGTTCATCATGACATTGCACCAAGAGAAGGCAGGCGAGCAAAACACCTCAGTGCAATGGACACTGTCATTGTGTTTGAGCTTTGTGGGCTTGTGAGTTTCACAAATGATTAATGGCTGTCCTTGTGAAGCTCTTATGTTGAAACCTACATGAGTCAAAAGTAAGTTAGAAGCAATCAATAGTGTCCTTGTGCTGCATTCAGCTACAATAACAGCTGAAATCATTATAATTTGCATCCAGCAGAGGACTTCAAAGCTCTTTATGGATATTAATTAACGACCTTCACACAAGT